TATATATATATATATATATATATATATATATATATATATATATATATATATATATATATATATATATATATATATATATATATATATATATATATATATATATATATATATATATATATATATATATAATTTTTTATGAAATTTTTTATCAATTAAAAAATATTTTTTAATTCCCAAATGATGTTTAACAGAGCAAGGAAATTCTCACAGGATGTCTGATAATATTTTTTCTTCTGTAGAAAGTCTTATTTGTTTTATTTAGGCTAGAATAAAAGCAATTTTAATTTATTAAAAACAATTTTAAGGACAAAATAATAAGCCCCTTTAAGCTATATATTTTTTGATAGTCTACAGAACAAACCATAGTTATATAATAACTTGCCTAATTACCCTAACCTGCCTAGTTATCCTAGTTAAGTCTTTAAATGTCACTTTAAGCTGTATAGAAGTGTCTTAAAAATATCTACTCAAATATTATTTACTGTCATCATGACAAAGAGAAAATAAATCAGTTATTAGAGGTGAGTTATTAAAACTATTATGTTTAGTAATGTGTTGATAAAAATCTGCTCTCCGTTAAACAGGAAATGAGGGGAAAAAATAAACAGGGGGTTAATAATTCTGACTTCAACTGTATGTCCATCTTAAACCAGGCTGGTCAAGCTGGTTTTAGCTGGTCATTTTCCAGCCTGACCAACTAAGACCAGGCAGAAACCAGCCTGGAAATTTTCTAAAACCCCTCTAAAACCAGCTTAGGCTGGTTTAAGCCGTTTATTTCAGCAGGGTAATAATCAATGCAAAAATAATATATATTTAACCCATCCCACACTAAATGTATACATGTTTTTATTCACATTTTAACTATTATTATAAAAGGATTGAAGTACATTTCGGTTGTGATAAAAAAAAATAAAACTTGAAAAGTTTTTAAAACATTTTTCCTCACAATTTTGAGTTATTATAAGTCAAACGTTGCAAAAAATACATTGTAAATTGTAAATGAAATTATGTTTATAAGCTCTGTAGGGATTTGAGATTCATAATTCTGCATCTTTTATTTCAGGTTTTTCACAGATTTAGGACTTTTTCATCTACACTACCTGACAAAAGTCCTGTCACCTATGCAGGTTTTATTAACAACATATAATAACTTGACTTCTAGTTGATCATTTGTTATCAGAAGAGGCTTATATATATATATATATATAAGGCCTCTAGATTACACTTATTTTACCACAATAAAATCATGCCTTGATTTTTTTATTTTTTTATTTAGGACAGTCAGGTCTGACTTTGCTTAGACAAAACACTCTTGCAGGACTCCCAGAGTTCATCAAGATGCTTTGGGTTCATCTTCAATGCTTCAATCTCCATCTTACCCCAGACATGCTCAATAATGTTCATGTCTTGTGACTGGGCTGGCCAATCCTGAAGCACCTTGACCTTCTTCGCTTTCAGGAGCTTTGATGTGGAGGCTGAAGTATGAGAAGGAGCGCTATCCTGCTGGAGAATTGTCCCTCTCCTGTGGTTTGTAATGTAATGGGCAACACAAATGTCTTGATACCTCAGGCTGTTGATGTTGCAGATCTCTCACACTCCCCCATACTGAATGTAACCCCAAACCATGACTTTTCTGACTGATTTCTGTGAGGATCTTGGGTCCATGCCGGTTCTAGTAGGTCTTCTGCAGTATTTGTGATGATTGTCATGCAGCTCAACAGAATTCATCAGGAAAAATCGACCTTCTGCCACTTTTCCAAATGATCAACTAGAAGTCAAGTTGTTATTTGTTGCTTCTACAACTGGGATGCACGACAAGACTTTTGTCAGGTAGTGTAGATTACTTTCAGTAATTCTGCATGTTCTGCAATAACATTATATTTAAAACATAAAAAAAAACAGAAATATGTCTGTCTTGAGATTAAAATTATATAAAAGAAATGATTTAAATATTTATTTTTGCAATTTTGACTCTCAATCGCTCAATTCTGAATTCATAGGCTCTCAGAATTCTGATTTATTTCTTGCAATTCAGACTTTCCCACTATCACTAGACTCAAGATTCTTTCAATTCTGGCACTAAAAGTCAGAACTGGAAGAAATACATTAATATTTGTAATTATTTATTTTAGATTTAATAAATTCGACAGCAGAAACATGACAACTCCCATGTAAAAGAGACCCGGTTGAGCCGGTAATAGCTGAAGTAGATCAGGATCTGCTGGCGGTTTGAGTATTGCGTGATGATTTGGTGTTTCTACACAGGCAGTCGAACAGAAACAGCAGGACGTCTGATGTCCAGTAGTGGACTGTTGATTCAGATGTCTGCCCGTTCAGCAGGTCCAGGCGGTGTTTTTTTTTAGAAAGTGCAAAAGAGAGATACTGAATGGGTCTTCAGAGAAAACGTCACAGCGTCAAAAAAAAAACAAACAAAAAAAACATTGGCTGTTCACAGAATCAAGTGTGCAGAAGAGCACGAGGAAACTGTACATTAGATTTTACAATAATCCAGTCTGTCAGTACTGTATGTGTGACTGGATTTGCTGTGGTGAAAGCAGTCACAGATGAATGAGGTAGTCAGGTGTGTGTCGTCCCGTCACCGAATCAGGCTGGAGATACGGATTACTGATGGAAAAAACACACAAACGAGAAATGATATTCAGATCTCAATGCATCACGCAAAACTTCAACAATTTGTGCCTGGCATGATTTCCGCTTATCAAACAACATTTAACACCTCATAACTAAAAAAAAAAGGATATAATGTGCACTGTTAATCAACAGTTTCTGTTTATTTACGGTTGTGAATTGCATTATGGGATGTTGATCTCTGCTCTGTCGACTTCTGATGTTGAAAATTGAACTCTACAGTTTAACAAAGTGACTTTTATTGACGTTTTAGTAGCTTGAAACAATATAACGTACGAGAAAAAATCCATATTTACACTCGCCGGCCACTTTATTAGGTACAACTGCTTGTTAACACAAATGTCTAATCAGCCAATCGCATGGCAGCAACTCAATGCATTTAGGCATGTAGACATGGTCAAGACGAACTGCTGCAGTTCACACTGAGCATCAGAATGGGGGTGATTTAAGTGACTTTGTATGTGGCATGGCTGTTGTTGCCAGACGGGCTGGTCTGAGTATTTTAGAAACTGCTGATCTACTGGGATTTTCACGCACAACCATCTTTAGAGTTTACTGAGAATGGTCTGAAAAAGAGGAAAAATTCAGTGAGCGGCAGTTCTGTGGATACAAAGACCTTGTTGATGTCAGAGGTCAGAGGAGAATGGCCAGACTGGTTCCAGCTAATAGAAAGGCAACAGTAACTCAAATAAGCACTCGTTACAACCGAGGTCTGCAGAAGAGCATCTCTGAATACACAACACGTCCAACCTTGAGGCGGATGGGCTACAGCAGCAGAAGACCACACCGGGTGCCACTCCTGTCAGCTAAGAACAGGAAACTGAGGCTACAATTCACACAGGCTCACCAAAACTGGACAATAGAAGATTGGAGAAACGTTGCTGCTCTGATGAGTCTCCATCTCTGCTGCCACATTCAGATGCTCGGCTCAGATTTTGGTGTCAACAACATGAAAGCATGGATCCATCCTGCCTTGTACCACAATTCAGGCTGGTGGTGGTGGTGTAATGGTGTGGCGGATATTTTCTTGGCACACTTTGGGCTCATTAGTACCAATTGAGCATTGTGTCGATGCCACAGCCTACCTGAGTATTGTTGCTGACCAAGTCCATCCCTTAATGACCACAGTGTCTCCATCTTCTGATAGCTGCTTCCAGCAGGATAACGCACCATGTCATAAAGCGTGAAGTCTCAGACTGGTTTCTTGAACATGACAATGAGTTCACTGTACTCAAGTGGCCTCCACGGTCACCAGATCTCAATCCAATAGAGCACCTTAGGGATGTGGTGGAACAGAAGATTGGCATCCTGGATGTGCAGCCGACAAATCTGCAGCAACTGTGTGATGCTACCATGTCAGTATGGAGCAAAATCTCTGAGGAATATTTCCAGCAGCTTGCTGAATCTATGACACGACGGATTAAGGCAGTTCAGAAGGCAAAAGGGAGTCCAACAAGCTACTAGTAAGGTGTACCTAATAAAGTGGCCGGTGAGTGTATATGCTTATTTTTCACGCCACTGTTTGGCGCCATCTTGTGTTTAATAAGTAGGTTTAGTGACGGCTCCATTCAGCTGTTTTGCATTTAATGAAGGAGTTACTAAATTATTACGTCTCAGATCAATGTTTTGTCTGTTTGGCTTGTGGTAAATAGTCGTGTAAATGTGGGATGAATTACACCCCGCCTCTTGTTTTTGCAGAATTAAGGCCTTCAGTCTTATACAACAGCTGCTGATAACCTTTCAGGCTTTAATCTGCTAAGGGTTGTAAAATAAAAACAAAGAATGGACCCTTGAAATCCTTGAAAGTTTTGAATATTTAGATTTATTTTTAAACGCATGTATATTTAAATGTATTTACGTTTGTATTACATCATCTACCAACTATGCTGAGCTCTGCTACTGAGAAACCCGGAAATGTGAAAAGGGTTTTACCATTCTGGTGAAATCAGCAGCGAAAGTGACTCCTTTAGTGTGCCGTGAGCCCTCCTGTGAACTGCTGCTGCTGTCGCCGCTAAGAGAGTTCTTCCTCATGATGCCTGAGGAGAAAAAAAAACACACTCAGCATCTGCTCTTTCCAGCTCTAAATAACAATGACAAATACGTCTAAAGCTTTTAATCATACTGGTTATGATAATTAAGTTCATAATTAAGATTTACAATAAGGTAACATTCGTTAAAGGGATAGTTCACCCCAAAATGAACATTCTGTCATCATTTACTCAGCCTTGCAAACCTGCTTGACTTTGGTTCTTCTGTTGAACACAAAAGAAGATAACTTGAAGAAAGCTGGTAGCCTGTAACCATTGACTTCCATAGTATTTGTTTTTATTTTTTTACTATAGAAGTGAATGGTTACCGGTTTTCAGCATTCTTTAAAATATCTTCTTTAGCATTTAACAAAAGAAAAAGATTTGTAACCACTTGAGGAAGAGTAAATAATAATTTAATTTTAATTTTTGAGTGAACTATCCTCTTAAAACTTGCAACTTAAAATGAAAAATACAATGTCATGAAAGTCAATGGTTACCAGTTTTCAACATTCTTCAAAATATCTTCTTTTCTTTCTTTTTCTTTAGTATCTTTGTCTTTTTTCTTTTGTTGAACGTAAAAAATATATATTTGAAGAATGCTGAAAACTGGTAACCATTGACTTCCATTGCATTTAATTTTCCTGCTATGCAAGTCAAATACTATGGAAGTCAATGGTTACCGGTTTCCAACATTCTTAAAAATTTGTTCTTTTGTGTGGTCAACAAACGAAAGAAACTTAAACAAATTTGTACCACTTTAGGGAGAGAAAATATTTTTGTGTGAATATCCCTTTAAAATATGCAACTTAAAATGAAAAATAAAATGTCACTGAAGTCAACATTTATCAAAATATCTTCTTTTTTCCTTTTTTTTTAAATAATATCTTTATCTTCTTAGTTTTGTTGAACATTAAAAATACATTTTGAGGAATGCTGAAAACAGTAACCATTTACTTCCATAGCATTTGATTTTCCTACTATGGAAATCAATGGTTACCGATTTCCAACATTCTTCAAAGTATCTTCTTTTTTATCCTTTCATTTAATATCTTTAACTTCTTTCTTTTGCTGAACTCTAAAATATATATATTTTGAGGAATGCTGAAAATCGGTAACCATTGACTTCCATTGTATTTGATTTTCCTATTATGCAAGTCAAATACTATTGAAGTCAATGGTTACCGATTTCCAACATTCTTTAAAATATCTTCCTATGTGTTCAACAGAGGAAAGAAACTCATACAATTTGTTACCACATGATGAGAGAGTAAATGGTGTGTAAATTTTTATTTTTGGGGGTTTATCCCCTTAACTATGCAACTTAAAATGAACAATGAACAATACTTCTAAAGCATTTCTTAATCTTCAAGAGATTTGTAACAAATAATTTGATCAAAAAAAAAAAGATTGATAAAAGATATTTTGAATAATGATGAAAACCAGTAACCACTGACTTTTATAGTAAGAAAATTAAATAATATGGAAGTCAATGGTTACCGGTTTCCAACAGTCTTCAAATATTTTTTTTCTCTCTTTTTTTCTTTAATTTCTTTATCTTCTTTCTTTTGTTGAACACTAAAAAAGATATTTTGAGGAATGCTGAAAACCGGTAACCATTGACTTCCATAGTAGGAAAATCAAATCCTCTGGAAATCAATGGTTACCGGTTTCCAACATTCCTTAAAATATCTTCTTTTGTGTTAAGCTAGGTTTTATAGGGAGAATTAATCCATTAAAAACATCAATAATAAACCTCAAATAATGTTGAACCTGTTAAAGGGAGGATGTCGAGCCTCTGGAGGCTGTTCCTGCGAGATGACGGAAAGTTTCCTCCTTTAGACAGTCTGCGCTGGCGGCTGGACAGCATCGCTGCTGGAGACACGATACACGGAGGAGGAACCTTGCCCATCTTTGCATACAGCTCCTCAATCTCTCGCTTCTGCACCGTCTGCAGAGACTGAACCTCACACAGGTGCCTAACACACACACAACAGAAGTTTCACAGCAATAAGCATCACTAAAGCACTGGAATCAAGGCTCTTCAACAAGACTGGGAGAAGACGATTTGATAAAAATCTTTATCTTTATTCTCAAGTGTGCAGTTCTTTGCTGGAAATAGGGTTGAAATTATATTAAAATGAGTCCTTTCAGAATTAGTGATACCACAGCAATAAATAATACTAGATTAACTAATCTCAATATTTCTCAAACAATTACTGACAAAATGCAAGTAGTATACAGTTGAAGACAGAACTGTTAGCCCTCCTGTTAAATTTAATATATTTTTCTGTTTAACACATTTCTAAACGTTACAGTTTGAATAACTAATTTCTAATAACTGATTTATAATATTTTACTAGACAATTTCAGGGTACTAGTATTCAGCTCAAATTGACATTTAAAGTCTTAACTCGGTTAATTAGGTAGGTGGGAGTAATTCGGCAAATCATTTAACACTGAATAACAAGGTTTTGTTCTGTAGATAATCAAAAAATAAAATTGCTTAAATAATATTAACTCTGCTTTAAATTGCTTAATATTATATTATAATAATATAATATATATATATATATATAATATTGACCTTAAAATGGTTTTAAAAAAATTTAAAACTGCTTTTATTCTAGCCAAAATAAAAAAGATAAGACTTTCTCCAGAAGAAATAATATTAAAGGAAATTCTGAAAAATACATTTTTGAAAAAGAATCTGTACACTACCGGTCAAAAGTTTTCAGATTTCAGATTTTAAAACGTTTTAAAATAAGCTTCTTCTGCTCACCAAGGCTGCATTTATTGAATCAAAAATACAGTACACATTGTAATATTGTGAAATATTATTGCACTATAAAATAACTGTTCAAAAGTAGCTTATCATTTAACTTAATCGTTTCTTCCAGTTTTCAGCTTCATTACTCCAGTCTTCAGTCACATGATCCTTCAGAAATCACTCTAATATGAATTATTGTTATTATTATTATTATTATTATTAATAGTAACAGTAATAAAAATAATAATGACCGGAGTAATATTTTCAGTTGAAACTACACACAATAAGAAAGCAGTTATTTAAAATTGTAATAAATATTTAAAAATGTAACTTTTTTTTTTTACATTCAATAAATGCTGCCTTGATGAACAGAATCATTTTCTTTAAAAAACATGGAAAAAAACTGACCCCAAACATTTGACCAGTAGTGTCTCTATAACATGCGGCATTAAACTCTTTCGTTTGTAAATAATTGTATAAAGGCTATAACTTTCTACTGAAATGTAAAGCATGATTTTAGCTTCGGCCATGTTTTCGCTCATGTATGTTGTATGGCGAAATTTCTGTTTTTTTTTTATTTTGTTAAAACAAAAACGCACTAGTATAACCGTAGCCAAAGAGCTTAGAATGACCAAGAGGCGACACTCAATAGAACGTTCCATTGCGACAGCAGCGCCCAGCAGCAGCCCTGGATTCCGCCATTTTGGAGTGAAAGTGATCGGCCGTCCATTGGATCTCATTACTGTCGCGATGGCAAGCAGCTGCTTTGTTTTTTATTTATTTATTTATTTAAAAAGCGCATTAAAGCTGGGATACAACCTGGAAGATGACAATACAGCACTTATTATCACAATCATCAGCACTTTTAATAGTTTATTTAACAGACTTATAATATGCTGTAGTTCTATGGGGTATATGCTGAAGCATGCTAACAGGACTTTTAATTTGCCAGTAACCTGGGTTAAGCGCTCCCAGCGAACTGAATGCCAATGCAAAATCCGGTGCGTTTAAGGTCTGTTTTCTTTAAAAATCAGCGATCTCCACTAGCTGAGTGATATCCGATTTAAAATGGGTCTCAGATTGTACTAGAAGCACTGCATTAAATTACATTTCCCCCGCCATGTCTTTATAATATGAGCATTTATTTTACCCCAGTATATTCAATGGAGCTTCTGCGTTAGCCTGCCGATTCTGACGGGCGCGTATGAGTAAACCGCTTTTTGTCTCGTTTTACGCTTGAGCAACTAAATAAATGCTAAAGTTTATTTAACTGAATGTATTTTAATGACATTACAACATCAATACTGTATAAGGAACCGTATAAAATGGAAAAAAGTTCACAATAACCGGTCACCGGAAGTGTATCAGCATGGGAACAGCTCTAGCTCAGCATATACCCTATTGGAGTTTTCATTCCAAAATGGCCGCCGCGCCCTCTAGTGACTGTTTCCCAAATTACACTAGAGTGTCGCCTCTTGGTCATTCTAAGCTCTTTGCCGTAGCCTAACAGCAATATTCAAGTTCAATTCAATTCAAGTTTATTTGTACAGCGCTTTCACAATAATTATTGCTTCCAAGCAGCTTTACAAAAGGTGCACATTATTGCGTTATGAACAAATTCAGAAAACCATAACTTCATTAGTCACTGATAACTTTAAGCAATTATGTAAGAACTAAAAGCATTTAACAGTTAAAGTTATAATATAGAGTTGAAGTCAGAATTATAATGACTCGTGATTTTGTATTCTTTTTTTTAAATATTTCCCAAATGATGTTTAACAGATTCAGGAATTGTTCACAGTATGTCTGATAATATTTTTTCTTCTGGAGAAAGATTTATTTGTTTAATTTCGACTAAAATAAAAGCAGTTTTAAATTTTTTTTAAACCATTTTCAGGTCAATATTATTAGCCTTTAAGCTATATATTTTTCGATAGTCTACAGAACAAACCATCGTTATTGAATAACTTGCCTAATTACCCTAATTAACCTAGTTAAGCCTTTAAATGTCACTTTAAGCTGAATACTAGTATCTAGAAAAATATCTAGTCAAGTATTATTTACTGTCATCATGACAAAGATAAAAAAAATCAGTTATTAGAAATGAGATATTAAAACTATTATGTTTAGAAATGTGTTGAAAAAAAAGAAATCGCTCCATTAAACAAAAATTGGGAAAAAATAAACCGAGGGGCTAACAACCTGCAGTTAAATAGCATACATAAATACAATATAGCATTACATTATATAATACAACAATAAAAGTGAGTAACAAATGTGTCTTACTTCTCCCTGAGCTGCTGTAGCTCCTCCCACATCTCCTCATCCTCGCTCTCAGATTCGTCGCTGCTCATGTAGGAGGAGCTTCTGGTGTAGCTCATCCACAGGTTGTGCAGGGGCGTGGCATACGGAGGGCTGCCTGCGTGTCCGTCCCACACCGAAAAACCGCTGTCCACCGAAGTCCCCATGAGACCCGGGCCGCAGTCCACCCTGCGTCCCTTCCTTTTCCTCCTCTGCTTCTTATCTTCACCTTCGTCATAATCATCGTCATCGTTAACCTCCTGTCTGTCTCTGTCCTGGTTTCCCTGATTGCTCCGGGCCTCGGGCGGCTCAGAAGAAATCGATAAATCACACTGAGGAGGATTTTGAGCTGAAAAAGGCTGATCCAGGGGCCTGATGGGATTATCCGAATGGAGGACAGATGGAGTCTGGGCTGGTGTGTTTTCGCTTTCGGAGCATCTGGATGGAGCGGGAATCTCTTTACTGGGGGTCACTTGAAAACGGCCCACAGTCACAGTCGACTTTGGCTCAGTAAAAGCCTCTCTGCACTGGCTCCCTGTGAAACAGAGAATCTTTTTAAAAGCTTTTAACTTATAACTTTAACCCTTAGAATTTGCATTGTTCAAATTTACCGCCCTTTCATTATGTTGGGGGCTGTTTTTGCCCCATTGACCTCCATTATAACTACATTGCATGCTAAGCCATGACACCACATAATCATCAGTGTTGATTTCCTTAAATATTCTCTTAATTTGCTTGACATGGGTTTTGCACAATGGGAAAAGAAGGTATTCAAAAAATAGAGGATTTATATATAGATGGGACATTTGCCTCATTTGAGCAATTAAAAATAGCATTCAATATCAATATCTCCGACTTTTTCAGATACCTACAGATTGGAGCATACCAAACGCATACCAAATTCTAATGTTATAAAGCAACTAGGGTTGTAACAATATACCGGTATGACGGTCTACCACGATTTGAACGTGCACGATTATCATACCATGAACAATTGCATATCAACGGTTTTAACCCTTAAAGACCGAGACAGCCGCCCGCAGCTAAAAATAAGTATTGCTCTTAAATGTTTAATAACTTTTGATCCGCTAATCCGATTCATACGATTCAAAGATTGGCATGAAGAAGAGAATCTCAGCTTTCCAGTGCTTTATCACATAACATTCGCGGACTTTTAGAGGCTCCGGAATCAGTGCGGTTACGTCATCAAAATTTGACAACGCTGATTTGACAAAGAAACGCTCGTCACTGTGTCTCCGGACAAACCAGACATGATACATTGATGCATTGTCCCTCCTCCATGCCCAGATTGGTTCAAACTCGCTATATCACAACCAATAAGCATAGGTTTCGCTTTTGTTTGTGGACCAAAAATGAGCTTTTTGAACAACACGGAATGAGAGATAGGCATACATTTCTGCGCGGCTAAATAAAACGCAAAAAAAAAAGTTTTGCATGAAATAATTCTCATACTAAGTACTTTTGCAAGCACAGCAGCACAGAAACATGACAAAACAGTGACACAGCAAAGACGAACTGCTGCTCTTGCTGTTTTCAAAAGAAGCAAATGAAGGTGCAGCTGTTTGTCTGCATTGCAGTCAACCATATCCAAATCCATATCCACAGACAACCATATCCAAATCCATATCCACAGACAACCATATCCATGCTGGCACATAAAACCTAAGGATGTTCCATATTGAATCTAGTTTCGTTATGTAACTATTTATAGTATAGTAAATATTTATATCTATTTTTTTACTGAGGATTTGCACCATGTTTATTTGGACTTTATTTGGACTTTGACACATTATTTATTATTTTCTTATTTTTTTATTTGTTCATTGTAAGTGGTGTTGTTTATAGTAACTGAAAATATATTATTTGGAAAAAGTCAAATTTGCTTCACTGTTCTATTATTTTGTAACATTTGTAACATACCGTATACCGCGAAACCGTCAAACCGTGGTATTGTTTTAGACGATTATCATACCGTAACAAATTCATACCGTTACAACCCTAAAAGCAACACAATGTGCTTGAAGAAATGAACAGATTTAATCCTATACATCGAGGAGCTGTGTTGTATTTCTATGGCATCGTGTTAAGAGTGGAAGTTGTGGATGAAACCAGAGTTAAGCAAGCCTGGGAGAATGAATTAGGGTTAGAGATAGATTCAGAAAGTTGGGAAGAAGGCCTTGAGAATATACATGCATGCTCAATTAACGTAAGACATCATTTAGTTCAATTTAAAACCCTGCATAGGTTATCGAAGGAGAAACTGAATTCGATTTTTCCTCAGGTATCTCCACTCTGTAATAGATTTAAAACAGCAGAAGGATCCCTAACCCACTTGATATGGTTGTGTCTTAAATTACAAGAATATTGGGAAAATATTAGGGATGTAACGGTATCAGAATTTCACGGTACTGTAATACCTTGGTATGAATGGCACGGTACGGTATATATTGAATAATTAACAGGAAAAACAAAACTAATGAAAAGACTCGAAACAAGTGCCAAAAGTGTTTATTTACCCTAGCACTGAACATATCAATGACATACAAATTAGCCATCTATCTGTAAGTTTCCAAACAGGAACGTCAATTTTTCAATTTTAATAACAAAAAACTATTAAACCATATAAAAAAATTAAAGTTTCAATTTATTACTGTTGAAAACTCATCACATTCAACATTTAATCACTCACTCACTTAGATAGAGATGGGTATTTTAAGGAAAATTATCATATAACTATAATCTAAAAGCTGGGATCTCTGGGCATGTCCCCTGCAACAGAAAAAGACCCTCTCATTTGGGACTGAGGTTTCTGGGACGGAGAGATATGATTTAGCCAAGGTTGACAGCAGTGGGTAACGCTGTGCATTGTCTTTCCACCACTTGAGAGGACAAACCATGAGTGAGATAGAGGTCTCTTTGCGGTACAAGTCAATGTCTGCATCAATCTAACAAGTGTGCTGTGTTCTGCAGTCCCCATGACTGTTATTAGTCGTATTCCCCGACTTACATTTCACCACAGTCTATATGTATTATATTATATTGTAGTGTATTGAATTGTTTTTTTTTCTGTATTTTGTTGCAGCAAAAAGCACATAAATAAACGTAAAAAATAAATAAATAAATAAATATATATATATATATATATAATCTTAATTTTCACGACGAACAACTTGACTGGACTGCTTTTTCACATCCGTATTTTGACAGTCCGACAGTCATGCGGCAGTATTTAGTGTGTAATATTCAGTAAGTATGATGTTTATATTCCACTCTGAACACAGCCAAGACTGCTCTGGTTTCAGGAACACATCAACGCTTTGTACCGAGGAACAAAAAAAAGGCAGTGGTTGCGCAAGACCTCCACAGGCACATTTACTAGGTGTCCACAAACCCTCAGCGAGATGATTTAACCATGTACAGTACATTATAAAACTACGAGAACACAGCCCCGAGTCTGCCAGCAAGAAGAATATAAGTGTGTGTGTGTGTGTGTGTGTGTGCGTTACAGTGTGAGTGACTGTGTAAATGAGTGTGAAAGTGTGTGACAGTGTAACTGTGTGTATTAAATTGTATGTGGTTCTGTGAGTGTGTCTGTGTGTAAATGTCTGTAAAAGTGTATCACTGCATGACTGTGTGTGTGTGTGTGTGTGTGTGTGTGTGTGTGTGTGTGTGTGTGTGTGTGTGTGTGTGTTTAGAGGTCAGGATCTTACCAGATGGTAAAGATTTGCCTTGACTGCGAGGCTCTGGTTGTGTGTGTGTGTGTGTGTGTGTGTGTGTGTGTGTGTGTGTGTGTGTGTCTGTGTGTGTTTGTGTTTAGAAGTCAGTATCTTGGTGTCAAGATGGTAAAGATTTGCGTTTGTGAGGTAAAGTTGTGTGTTTGTATGAGTGTGACGGTGCCTGTGTGTGATTGTGTGACCGTGTCTGTGACTGTGTATTTATATGAATGTGTGTCTCTGTGAGTGTGAGAATCTGTGTGTGTGTGTTTAAGTGTGGGTCTATGTGAGTGACTGTGTATGAGTGTGAAAGTGTGTGACAGTGTAACTGTGTGTATTAATGTGTATGTGGTTCTGTGAGTGTGTCTGTGTGTAAATGTGTCTGTGTGAGTGTGTGTATGTGCGTGTGTGTGACTGTCTGTAAAAGTGTGTCACTGCATGAATGTGTGTGTGTGTGTGTGTGTGTGTGTGTTTAAGTGTTACAGTGTGGGTCTATGTGAGTGAGTGTGTATGAGTGTGGAATGTGTGACTGTAACTGTGTGTATTAATGTGTATGTAGTTCTGTGAGTGTGTTTGTGTGGAAATGTGTCTGTGTGAATGTGTGTGTGTGTGTGTGTGTGTGTGTGTTTAAGTGTTACAGTGTTACAGTGTGGGTCTATGTGAGTGAGTGTGTATGAGTGTGAAAGTGTGTAAGTGTAATTGTGTGTATTAATGTGTGTGTGGTTCTGTGAGTGTGTGTGTGACTGTGTGTGAGTGTTTGTGACAGAGTGTAATTATGTATTAATGTGTATGTGGTTTTGTGTATGTGTGTGCATGTGTGACTGTGTGTAAATATGCCTGTGTGTGTTTGCATGTGTGTGTGTGTGTGTGTGTGTGTGTGTGTCAGTGTGAAATTATGTATTAATGTCTAGGTTGTTCTGTGAGTGCGTGTGTGTCTGTGTGATTGTGTGACTGCATGACTGTGTGTGTGTGTGTATTAATGTGAATGTGTGGCTGTGTGTGTGTGTGTGTGTGTGTGTGTATGTGAGAGTGTTTGTCCCAGTAAACCATGTATGCAAGTATGTTTGAGTGTAAATGTGTGTGTGTGAGTGTGTGTATTAGTTTGTGTGTGTCAGTCTGAGTGTGTATATGTGTGTATAAAGGTGTCTGTGTGTGAAAGTGTGTGACAGAGTGTAACTATTCCTATTGTGACAGGTTCTGTGAGTGTGTGATTGTGTGTCTGTCCGTGCAAGTGTGTGACTGCATAGCCGTGTGTATGTCTGAGTGTGTCAGTGCTTAAGAGTGTGTTTTTGTGTGTGTATTACAGTGTGTCAGTTTGTGCGTGTGTTTGCATGTACTGTATATGTGTGTGAGTTAGAGTGTGTTTAAAGGTCTTACCATATAGTAAAGAGTTGTCTTGGCTCTGCAGGGCTCTGGCTGTGCGTGCATTTGCATGGGTGTGTGTGTGTGTATGTGTGAACCTTGTATTTTTTATGTTGTGGGGACAAAAATGTGACCTTTTGGGGACATTTGTTTGTTCCCCATGAGGAAACCCACTCATAACACACAGAATGAAGTATGTTTAACAAGTAAAAGTGCAGAGTGTTTCCACTGAGAGTTTAGGGCTAGAGGGGAATAGATTATGCAGTCTCTTCAATAGAAACCTCATTATGTCTATGGGAAGTCCCCATAAAGATAGTTGTACAAGTGTGTGTATAGTGTATGTTTAGAGGTCTTACCAGATGGTAAAGAGTTTTCTCGGCTCTGTGTGGCTCTGGTAGTCTCGAGCGCTGCCAGCGGGGACAATGATCGAGGACTAGATGACGACACCTTGGAGAAAACACAAGAGCGCTTCATTCAGACAAACCTCCACATCTGGCTTTCATAAGCGAGGATGAGCACATTTGTAGGTACATTAGTTTGATATTCAGGGATATAAAGCATGCTCGGGAAACTATGGAAACAAGCCGTCATAACACAAGCAGAGCTGCACGTTTACTCAACAATCTGTGCATGTGATCCAGATATTAGCAATAGTTTGGTGTAAAAATTAAATAACCGTATGTTTCAACCCAGGCTCATTCTGATTACGTACCCCTATATACATTTCTGGAGAGCGCCGAATACATCCCGGAAGCTTTTTTTACCAGAAGTTTTTGTACATAGGTGTTTGTAGCTCCGCCCTCTTTTAAAAAGAGCACAATCTCATTTAAATATAAAGCGACAGTCACCAAAATGCCTCAATTAGGATCAAAGCCTCAGAGGGTCAGTTTAAATGGCCATGAAACCCCCTCGATTCAGCAGGGTGTTTTCACACCTCTTCTTTGGAAAAAGTCAGAAAAGTGGGCGTGTCCAGCTCTGTTTAGGGGGGAGTGTCGGAGGAAGAAAAGAGGCTTGGTGTGGGAGTGTCTATTTGGGCGCGCTGAATTTCAGAGTCAAAACACACAACCACAGCGGACTAAGTGACTGTGTTTACATGGACATCTGTAGTCGAATTATTTGCCAAATTATTAAATGGTGGACTTTAACTGCAGTTTTCATTTTTCATTCAGGGAATTCATTCATGTCCCTCGCGACAAACGTGATATTTGATTCGAGGATCTGCTCTAAGCGTGTATTTTTCATGCAATGTTTGATACCGCACGGCGAACGAGAGAAAAAAAAACTCAGCATTTCCCGGAAACTTAGATGCACACGGCAGGTAGCGTCAGAAAGCCGCGTGTGTTATTCCGGTCACAAAATCCTACACGAGGTTATAGTTTGGTTGTAGTGCTAACATGTTTACACTCGGTGCAATAGTTTGTTTGATACGAATAAAATACGAACTGAATAAACAAAGAGCACTGGTCGCTCACTTACCAGATCTGTAGAGACAGGACAATCACCAGCAACTAGAGCCGCGTCTTTACTAAAAGAAGACTACAAGCGAATCCGGATTTCAGCATTTGCAGATGAGAACAGCTCTCAGGTAAACAATAATCCTCCTTAGACACGTAAGTTATTGCTGTCGCGCGTCGCGTACACTGTTAATCCACACGTGACTCCAGCTGCGCTCTCACAGAGAGAAAATGAAAACAAAACTTAACGGCAGCAAACTATAAAAGCAACACTTCACGCTTGTTTTGCCAACACAACGTGGCGTTTCTGTCGTCTAAACACTCTGACAGTAATGAATATTAATGAAGTTGCACAATAGAGTGCGCTGATTGGTTTGAACCAAGCCTTACTCATGCATTAATGCAACACACTGTAAGACGTAATAAGACACTCTCTGGCACAGATGTCCAGTCTGCACGCTGGAATACACGCTATTATCTCATGACCGTGACGCAGCTTCAAAAATTCGTTTCAAACCGGAAGTACGAATTTGCTTGAAATAACGCAAAAACAACCAATTTACACTTTTTAGTGAAATATAGGTGTCCTAATAGTGTTTTTAGCAGTGTGGGACACATATACGACTGTCAACAGCTCAAAAAATGTGTTTTGGTGTTTCGTGACCCTTTAAAAGAGTTATAAAACATTATGTGTGTGGTATTTTGATCTGAAACTTCACACACACACACACACACTCTAGAGACATCAGAGACTTATTTACATCTTGTAAAAAGGGGCATAACATGTTCCCTTTAAAGTTAAGTGTGACTTTCATCTCTATTTTAAAGATCTGTACATCCCTAGCAGAAAACGAAGAGATTAAATACACAAAGCGCGTCTTACCCTGCTGTCAGGACTCGCTCGGGGTGAAGACGAGCGTCCCGATGATGATCCAGGACTGCTCCGATGCTCCAGTAGGAGCCTGGAGGAAGCAGATCTGAAGTCCGGAGGATTATCCTTACAGGTTTCATTGGCAAACGTCGCTCCTTCCCGTGCTGACGCTTCCTGCTGGACTGATCTGGAGACACCTGTGGCAGGAGCTGAAGATGCTCTACTTGGAGGCGACATTGGAGAATCTCGAAACTGGGAGTCTACAGTCTGGTAATACTCCTGAGATGGAGGATACTGGGGTGCAAACATGGCAGGATAACCCGGCTGGAAACCCGGCATGGTTTGCGCGAGGTTCTGCGGGGGCATGAAGGAATGCGCCATGCTCATCGCCATAGACAAGACATTAGCCAGAGAAAACAGAGGCTGTGTGTGCGGCGGCCACATGCCTGGAGCCGGAGACATCATGCTGATGTCTGGAGGAATATCGGAGCTCAGCAGACCGGGGGACGCAGGGGTGGAGGAGAGGGTGTATGCGGGACTGCTGTGGACGCGGGATAGAGGAGTGTGCGCTGGTTTTGGGGAGCCCGGGTGAGGAGGGTAGGGGAATGGGAAGTGTGTGCCGGCGGGTATATAAGAGGGAATGTATTGCTGCATGTGAGGTAGATTGGAGTGAGGCATTCTGGGATCAGGAGGGTAGACTGAGGATGGCAGGATGTGATGAGGGTGATGAGAACCTGCCAGAGGGGGGAAATGAGAAAGAGAATTAGTACACTGTCAAAAGCTTTACAACTTAAAATGGACCTACAATGCAAAAATCACTTTTAGTAGGTGTTTAAACCATAGGCTGTAAAATATATGGACGTAGTATCCGTGACGTCACCCATAGGTTTCTGAAGAGCGCAAAAGAAGCCACAAGTAGGCGCGGCCAACCGTCGCCATTTTGGTCACGCGTCATCACACCCACGGCGGGATACCAAACAAGGGCAAAGAGGCGGAGAGTGAGCGGAGCTACAGACACCTGCTAGCATTTAGCTTGGACCTGGTTCAGACACACTTTACTTTGGGAGAAATGCTTAATACTTTATCACCTGTGACTCGTTTGTATTCTGACCACTTGTGCTTTGTTGTACACTATATCAATAAAGTGTTTAGACTTTTAAAAACACTGCTGTAATACATTGAGCCACTAAACATTGTTCTTATGACGTTTTTCAACAGGAGGAAAACGCGAATTACTTACAAACACTTCAGATACAGTCTGTATTAGTTAATGTAAGACTATTGATGAAATCCAGCATAACACTGTATGACAACACTTCAGATGACTGTTCTAGAGCCTACAGCTAATCAATCTGACAGATTCTGGAGTGCATTACAGCTCTAAATATAAATATAAACGATAAATGATCTTAAATAAAACAAATACATGTATAGAGATGGTAGATAAGTATATAACTTTACTCACATCGGAAACGGAGGCCACGTGAAAGGTTTGTGAGCACAATTAAGTGCACTCAGCATGCCATGCCATCTAATAATTGTAGGAAACAAGTCCAAAAGGCAGTTGAGTGTGTAAAGCCACATAAAACAACACAGAAATACGATAAATATGCCGAGTTCAGTGGCTAATCTGCAGGATTCAGCTGAGGTGACGTGACGGCGACCAGCGAGACCTAGCTGTCAATCAAGTGACCACGCCCTTAATTATGCAAACTTAATATAAAGGAAACGGATGAGTTATAAAAAAATTCACCCCCCTCACAGTTGTCATAAAGGGTAATATTAGCTGTATTAGCCAAAACCTTTTTTTGTACCAGGCTGTAAACACCTTTTTTTCTGCTGTAAAGTTGGCCATTCTAACAGTGGGCTCAATTGAAATTTGCTCTGTTTTGGAGCCAGGAGCGGCCAGGACTAGCGGAATTTCGGATGAATTGCAGTTTTAGTTACTTCCGTATTGGCTTCCTGAGGGAGAGCGGGAGGTTGCCGCTTGGTTTAAACACAGTTGTGTGGCAATTGTGTGTGGATATCAATATCAAAATTCTAATGATACAAATGTATTAATGTTATTTTATTTATTTATTTATTTTATTTTATTTTATCACACTTGATAAAAACAGTCTGCAGAAACACTTTGATTGACATTCTCCCTTTGTACGTGTCAGAGGGGGAAAGCCCCGCCCACTAGTGACCATCTCTCCCTCATTAGCATAGGACGTTAGTCTAGTTCTTGAATCTGCCACTATGCTGACCCACAGGTATTTATAGCTCCGCCCTCTTTTGAAAAGAGCACAATCTCATTTAAATTTAAAGCGACAGTCAATAAAATGCCACAATTACAATTAAAACCTGAAAGGGGCAGTATCAGAGAGTTATAAAACATTCTTTGTGGGGTATGTTAAGCTGAAACATGCCTATTATTCAATTATTATTTGATTATTAGCACTTATTAGGTATGATCTCATTTTACAACTCTAGTCCTACCCAACTGAACCCTATTACTACCTTACTAACCTAATAATAAGCAGCTTATTAGTAAATTATTTAGCTACAGTATAAGTAGGGATGCACCGATACCCCTTTTTTACAAACCGATACGAGTAAGAGTATTTTAATTTGTGTACTCGCCGATACCGAGTACCGATACGTTTCAATGAAGTTTATTTGTTTTTGGGGTTTTTGCCTGTAGCAAGGATGAACGCAAAAATCTTTTAACAGAAAGCTGTTCCAAGCCAAAAAAAATATACACACTAGGGATGGGCGATACAGAATATTTAAATTCAATACGATACGATACTTTTTGTTAAAATTTTTGCCATATCGATACCACTTAATAAAATAAATCATGTACATTATCATTACATGTAAAATATACATAAACGACCATTTTACATATATACACACTGCATACACATACATACTGCATAAACACACACTGCACAGATACACACACACACACACACTTATATTTATTACCTAATGGTAATGAGACAGAAAGAGAGAGCTGATTTATTATTCTGATTTATTATTTTATTTATTTATTTTTGTATTTAATTATTACTATACTATATATTATAATACTATACTATTATTTGCTGTGTTTAATATATATATATATATATTTATAAACATTTACATACATACATACATATATATATATATATATATATGTGTGTGTGTGTGTGTGTGTGTGTGTGTGTGTGTGTGTGTGTGTGCGTGTGTGTTTGTTCTTTTTAATGTAAGCTTTACAAATGCTTTAACAAAACATTTGTAACATTTGTCACGCCAATAAAGCACTTATTGAATTGAACCCTACAAATCTAGACCTTATCTATTAATGATTAAGCAATTTAAAGGACTAGTTATCCTGACATGCATCCACGACTTTACACAGTACACAAAGTGTGTGCAGTGTACCTTATGGAGTCACTCTCTTGGCATTGCATATTGGGAACGCATAAAACCCTGTTATGCGTGATTACATGGACATCGGAAAAATAAGACCTGCGCAAAGATATTTAATACCTAGAACAGCGAATTTAAGACATTTTAAGGCCTAAAATTTCGATTTTTAAATTTTAGACTTTTTAAGAGTTTAACAAAGTGATTTTTATTTACATTATAGTAGTTTGAAATAATATGATGTATAAGGTTAAAAGTTGTCGGAGGAAATATCAAGCTCCTAATATGCAATTCAAAACCCTAAATAAACAGCAAATAAATACAAAAATACAGAAAAACTACTAAAACTAAATTACACTGCTAATTTATGGATGTTTTTAGAGTGTAGTAGCTGCTGTTTGACTTTTATGCGAGGCTCTGTTGTCCAATCATCTCTCGTTCTGCATCTGTCAATGCTGTGCACATTTCCACCTTTCACACAGTGCCTTCTCTATGGAAACACAGTCAAACACGCTCTCCAATGGTGCATTACGTCAACAATGAATGATCACGTCTGAATCTTCACACTGATGAAGTGAACGGGTCCAAATCACAAATAAAAACCATCTGCGCAATTCGCTTGTAAAGCTCCCATTGTAACAGAGGCTGAGCGTAATTGCTGTCGACATTACAACAGTGGCTCGTTAAGTATATCTGGGTATTCGTGTTTTTTTTTTTTTTTTAAATGAGCATGTCAGATGTATCATGGAGGCATAAGTCCAGAAAACAGGAAAACAAAATGTTCTGTAGCAGAAACAGAAAGGATGTGGTGACGGAGGAGAGAGAGAGAGAGATAGTCGCTGGCAATGGGCATGATTTGTTGAGCTTTGTTTTTAATTTGTGACAGAAATCTCTGAGTCGGAGGGGATGTGGAAAGTCGAATAGCTCACAAACACATGTAGGGATAGAAGCTGCACTACTGATGTCATTATCTGTCACTTTGATTGGGTTGTAAACTGTAAACGTTGCAACCCAGGCTCATTATAGATACGTACCCCTATATACATTTCTGAAGAGCGAAAAAAAGTCCCAGGAGCTATGTTTTTTTGCAGTTTTTGTTTTCGTGAATGCACCAGAGGTTGCTGTGTACACTTTTTGGGCTCTATTTTGACTGTCCATGCGCAGAGCACAAAACGCAGGGCGCAAACGCTTTCAGGGCGTGTCAGGACGCGTTTTTGCTAATTTAAGGACGGGAAATCTGCCTTGCGCCGCGGCGCATGGTCTAAAAGGGTTGAGTTTATTTTCTTAATGAGTTATAGGTGTGTTTTGAGAATAAACCAATTAGAATCTCATCTCCCATTCCCTTTAAGAGTCAGCTGCGTCACGCCAAGAGCGCATTCGCTATTTACAGGACGCAAAGTAAGTCTAAGTGGAAAAAATGAGCAAAACAAGCAAACAGTTCACAGTTTTTTAACAGAAAACTGTTAAACAGAGCATCTACTGCGTGAGAATGAGAGATAAATGATCTACTTTCACTTTCGCTCTTGGATAGGGAAACCTTTACGCACAGACATCAATTAGTCTATAAATAAATACTTTTGTTTGTTAAGCGCAAATATTCATTTCAAAACTATTTCTAAATTCAGTTCTAATTTCCAGCAAACGAATAAATGAACAATAATGACCAAGTGTGCTCAAAAACCTGAGTATTATCCTAAAACACATGCTGTGCCCCATATGGTCTAAAACCTGACAGGTGGGCAAATCTAAGCTTGTTTTTAATAAAACAAATATAAATATGGATATAATAAATAATACTGCTAATATTAATAACATTATACAAAAGCAAATTGTTATGAATGAACTGAAAAAGCCTCCCGAGATGAAGAAGACATAAAAGCAGTGATTTTTCATATTTATGTAGGCTAGAAAATAATATGTTTTGTAATATTTTAATCCTTTATATTTATATCCTATATCTATTTTTATCATATACTATATATATCCTTTATATTTACATTTTTTCATATGTAAAGATATTTGACTATTGCTCTCTTGTGTGTATTAAGCAGTGTGTAAGAGAGGCGCAACTCTGCGCCGGAGTTTAGACCGGGTTTGTTTTGGTCTAATGAAAAATCTATTATAGTTTCTCAAAATAGCAACGCGCCAGCGGTCCGCCTCAGAACGCCTTCCTTTTTAGACCAGAACGCCTATGGGCGCACAAATGAGCGCTAATGCATTTGCTATTCAAACAGCGTAGCGCAACGCCTCAAAACGACTCTTGCGCCAAGCTGAAACTACCAAAAGACTTCTGCGCTGGGTGTATGATAGGGCCCTTAGAGTTCTCAAATTTCTCATGCGAGTGCCATTCATGCCTGCTGTTCTCATGTAAATCCACCAGAGGCCGCTGTCGATTTGCTCACCAACACCTACCCACCCCCTTCCCTAAACCCAACCGACAGTGTTTTCAAAAGCAATCCAGATTTTACAATGTTTTCAGATCTTACCACATTCTCACCCTGGTATTTACTTGTTTATTTTATTTTTTGCCATTTGTTTTTGTTTTATCTGCTTTCTGGAACCGTTCTTCACCAGACTCGAAACCCGTTGTTGCGGTCAACTCCGCCAAAGTACAGTAAGCGGCGAACCATTGGGTAAACTGGTAACAGCAGAGAAGCAGTCCACACGGAGGTAATCGTAAGCAGGCCAGCTTCTCTCACAGATATGTGTGAGAAGGACATTGAGATTGACAGCAATGTACACGGCGGCCTCTGGTGGATTTATGAGAAACTGCACGTATGAGAAAACGTGCCCCAGTAAGGTATTTGAGATTTTGAAAAATGTACACAAACCCCCCTTTAGTGGATTTGTGAAAACAAAGACTGCAGCAGACATATATTTTGCAGTGACAAATGCAGCCCTGGGTACATATCTCCAATGGGTTGCATAATACGGTGTCGGCATTGTTGTATTTGTATGTGAATTCTTTTATATTTAAAGCAATAAATCTATAACTTTAATCTATCTTTATCACTACGGTTATAATTGTTGTGTATTAAATTAAAGAAACATTATCAACCATAATGACAGACAGCTTTTTTTTGAGTCTGCTGAACTGTCAATGCAGCTTTCAGCCTTTGAATACAGCATTCACAAAACAAGATGCCATCAGCTAAAGCAATCACCCAGAGTCCCTTGAGTCGGACGGAAACTGTGGTATACAGTGTATGTTGAAGGCGGCGATGACATTTTAAGAGCAGCCCACTCACAGGACTGAAGCCGGACAGAAACGCGAGAGAAGTGCTCTCTTACCTGGAGCGTTATGGAAAGACTGCGAGCGTAAGAGTGGACGTGTGGATGAGGTAACGTCTCCAGCGGCTCCCAGAGGAGAAGCCCTGGCCCCGGAGCCCAGACCCAACTCCGCTGAAAACCACATGCGTACGTGTGAGGAAGGTGCCGGACTAAAAGAGCGCTTCATGTTGACATCAGTAATACACAATGGTAGAGCTTACCTGGTAGAGAGGAAGAGGAATGAGCTCGAGCCAGACTGTGTAGGTTTGGCTGAAAGAGAGAAAAAAAAAAGTTTGTTCATTATTACTGTCAAATATACTGATGAAGACTGATTAATTGACTTTACTTAAAGTGAGTAAACCCATTCACTGTAAAACCAAAGTGAAGTTTGTAAGGCAGCTTACTGCATAGCTATTTGTTGAGTTGACTCAGCTTTTAACTAAAGTACAGCACTTGACTCCATTTAAGTTGAATCAACTCAACCTGGGGTGCGTTTTCCAAACAACGAAGTAACTCGTGGCTGAACTATCAGTACGATGCATCATTTGGGAAAAGAACGATGTAGTGACTAGTGTTTCCCAAAACGTAGTTTCTCTGTCGCAGATCCATCGCTTGAACCACGTTAGTTATATCGTAAAACGCACATAATGATGCACTAAACAGGGTGGAGTAACAACTTCTTTAGAGAAGAACCCCATCCTTTCTTTGTGCAGATTATATTGTTTTACACGAACACATATTTACATTAAAATCAAATATTGGTTTTGGTAAAAACATGCACTCGCTTTCCATATTAACTGAATTATATGTAATAGAGAGAGCCTCTGTTTCCTTTACAAATATTATTGAGAATATGACATGTCCTATTCTAAAACATAAAATCACTTACAAGAGTTAACACATATTCTAATATCATATAAATCATACGAATAAATAAATAATGAGGCTATTTATTACCAAATAAAATTTCATATTTATAGTGTTTTAGGAAATGAAAAAAATCCAAATGTAATAATAATATTAATAATACTAATGATGATCATGAGGATGATGATGATGATGATAATTATTATTATTATTGAACTTAAATTTGTAAGGCAGCTTACTGTATAGCTATTTTTTGAGTTGCCTCAACTTTTAACTAAAGTACTGCACTTTACTCGATTAAGGTTGAGTCAACTCAACCTGGGGTGCGTTTCCCAAACAACGACGTAACTCGCGGCTGAACTGTCATAGTACAATGCATCGTTTGGGAAAAGAACGATGTAGAAACTAGTGTTTCCAAAAAACGCATAGTTTCTCTGTCGCAGATGCATCGCTTGAACCACGTTAGTTATAACGTAAACGCACATAATGACGCACTAAACGGGGCGGAGGAACTACTTCTTTAGAGAAGAACCCCATCCTTTCTTTGCGCAGATTATATTGTTTTACACGAACACATATTTAAATTAAAATCAAATATTGGTTTTGGTAAAAACATGCACTCGCTTTCTATATTAACTGAATTATATGTAATAGAGAGAGAGAGCCTCTGTTTCCTTTACAAATATTATTGAGAATATGACATGTCCTATTCTAAAACATAAAATCACTTACAAAAGTCACTTAAAACACGTATTCTAATATCATATAAATCATACGAATAAATAAATAATGAGGCTATTTATTACAAAATAAAATGTGATATTTATTGTGTATTAGGAAATGAAAAAAATCCATGAGGATGATGATGATGATGATAATTAATAATATTATTGAACTTAAATTTGTAAGGCAGCTTACTATATAGCTATTTTTTGAGTTGACTCAACTTTTAACAAAAGTACTGCACTTTACTTGATTAAGGTTGAGTCAACTCAACCTGGGGTGGGTTTCCAAACATCGACGTAACTCGCGGCTGAACTATCAGTACGATGCATCGTTTGGGAAAAGAAGGATGTAGTGACGAGTGTTTCCCAAAACGTAGTTTCTCTGTCGCAGATCCATCGCTTGAACCACGTTAGTTATAACGTAAAACGCCCATAATGAAGCACTAAACTGGGTGGAGTAACAACTTCTTTAGAGAAGAACCCCATCATTTCTTTGTGCAGATTATATTGTTTTACACATACACGCATTTAAAATAAAATCCAGTATTAGTTTTGGTAAAAACATGCACTCGCTTTCCATATTAATTATTATGAATTATTATTATTAATATTATTGAGAATATGACATGTCCTATTCTAAAACATAAAATCACTTACAAGAGTTAACACGTATTCTAATATCATATAAATCATATGAATAAATAAATAATGAGGCTATTTATTACAAAATAAAATTTAATATTTATTGTGTATTAGGAAATGAAAAAAATCCAAATGTAATAATAATATTAATAATACTAATGATGATCATGAGGATGATGATGATGATGATAATTATTATTATTATTGAACTTAAATTTGTAAGGCAGCTTACTGTATAGCTATTTTTTGAGTTGACTCAACTTTTAACTAAAGTACTGCACTTTGCACTTGAACCACGTTAGTTATAATTAGGCCCACGTGGAATCTGCGCACAGAATTCCGCCGATTTCTGCAGATTTTTAGCCCATCATTAATTCTGTGTGTTTACTTGAGTAAATATGTGTAAATCTAAATTTATTGAGTTTTTTTTTATTAATTTCAGTAATATTATTAACTAATGTGAAAATGTTCATCTGATTTATGTACAATGCAATGTTAAAAAGGTATTACTTTTTATTTCACATATTAAGGTTTCAGTTATGATACTCCCAAAATTCTTAGCAGATATACTAAAAAACGTCCGCAGATTCCGTCTGGCCCTGGTTATAACGTAAAACGCCCATTATGCCGCACTAAACTGGGTGGATTAACAACTTCTTTAGAGAAGAACCCCATCATTTCTTTGTGCAGATTATATTGTTTTACACAAACACGCATTTAAAATAAAATCCAATGAGGACTTCCGGTTGCGGGCGTGAATGGAGTAGTCGCGCCTGTCTCGAGGTCCCTGTGGACTTTTTTTTTCAATCCTTGAAACTTCCACCACTTTATTTATTTGTTTATTACATGTTAAACGCTTAAAATGACTAAAAATGGCATCGAAGTCCAGCAAATATGGGAAAAAAAGGCCCTCCTAAAGACAACGGTACCGCAGCAGTTTAACATGGCGGCCTGAACTAGCCTTCTGGAAGAACATAGAGAGGCCCTGTCTACTGAGTTTAAAGCCGCCTTGATATCTTTGGAAGCGAAAATGGACTCAGTTCAAACAGCGGTGCTGGATCAAGGTACGCCAATTTCTTCGCTAGAATCGAATGCCGACCTTCTCAGTGAGCGAATTCTCTCGCTAGAAGCGACCTGTTCTGAGCTAACTGAGAGCTATGCTAAGCTAAAAGCTAAAACGTTGGACTTGGAGGGTCGAAGTCGGCGCAATAACATCAGAATTATCGGAGTGCCAAAATCCGTCGAGGGCCCTCGACCATCTGTGTTTTTCTCGCAGTTCCTGGTGGATGTTATGGGCGAGCAAATCCTATCATCCCCACCGGAGATCGACAGACGCGCTCTTGTGGCCAAACTGAAGCAAGGAGGAAAACCAAGAGCTGTGATAGTTCGCCATCACCGCTATCAGATTAAAGAGACTGTGATGCGAGAGGCTCGGAAACAAAGGGGCTCGCTATAATATCAGGACAAGCCGATCGCTATCTACGATGACTACAGCCTTGAGGTTGTGGAGCAACACGTTATGGCAGAACTGTACAATCTGGGTTTCAAACCATCCCTCCTCTTCCCGGCAAAACTGAGAATTAAAATAAAATCCAATAATAGATTTGGTAAATACATGCACTTACATATTAATTGAGATATATGGAAATGGCACAAATATTATTGCGTTTAAACCTGTTTACCACTTAAAATTGTTGAAGGAAAGATCAAGATCGTATAATGCAACTCAAATAAATAAAAAAAACATGAATTATAAAACACAAATATTTTTTAACGTACATCCTGCGTCATGCGCTTCAACTATGCTCTTATGTCGTTAAAATAGTCTAAAATATATTTACTTACGTAATAATCTAAAATGGCGAAGTCCTTAAACTTAATTAAGAGCACTTTTGGTCTAACGGCTGAAGCTCTCAGCATCTTCAATCTCAGTCAAACACTCATTTTACAAACTATTTATGCCATAAATAACATCTCTGTGCCACTGAAACAGCTCCTACACACACACAAATGCCACTTCTTCAGCATAAACCCCACAGCTGCTGGCTTTATTGGAGGCGAAGCCTGTGGTTTTGGGTACGAGGGTTACATTCTGTCAAAGCCTCGCTCTGCAGAGAAATCGATCGATGTTTGAGACTCAGAAAGATTTGGTTTGGGACGGATGGTTGTAATCATGAGCTGGTCTGGATCCAGCGGACGCCTCTGGAGGGGTGTTACGCAATCCTCAGGGTGTGTGTGGACCGGCATTATAGCATTACAGATCTCAACGTCTACATAAAACAGACATTGTTCTGCTTCTCAGCGCTAATTAAGACATATCTGCAGATCAGTTGAAGGACAGGCTGAAGTGAAACTGAGCTTTTGGACAAAGCCTGTGTTTATTTAATTTTTTTTTTTTTTTTTACAAAGGACAGCTAAAAATAGTGTGATGGTACGTAGAAGTGATAGAAGGTACGTCAGCAGTCCTTAAATCCAAAATACAATAAATTATATTAAAAAAAAACGTAATTAGCGCAATCTCATCTTATTTTCTGCTTAATGGTGCTTTCACACCTAGACAGTCTCGTTTGCCTAGTTAGCATGGGTCGTTTGGCATATGTGAATCCAGCAATCACACTCAGATCCGCAACCAGGCTATAATTATTAATAATATTGGGATTTTAACAATTTAGTTTTAATCAGAAAGTAAGATGAGATTGCGCTAATTTAGATTTTTTTTGTTATTTATTGCCTTTTGAACTTACAGGACTGCTGACGTACCTGATATACGCATTATATGATTAAGTTATTTTCCCTTTTTACTTTATTTGCATAACTTTAATATTGTGGAATTTGGTCCCCACAATATCCAAAATGTTATCGAATATCGATATTTTTCAAGGTATCATATCGAATATCGGTATGTAGCGCACGTACATCAAAATGGTATCGAATATCGTTTTTTTTTTCAACATATCGTATCAAATATCAGTATGTAGCGCACGTACACCAAAATGGTATCGAATATCGTTTTTTTTTTCAACATATCGTATCAAATATCGGTATGTAGCGCACGTACACCAAAATGGTATCGAATATCGTTTTTTTTTTCAACATATCGTATCAAATATCAGTATGTAGCGCACGTACACCAAAATGGTATCGAATATCGTTTTTTTTTCAACGTATCGTATCGAATATCAGTATGTAGCGCACGTGCACCAAAATGGTTTCAAATATCCAAAATAGTATCGAATATCAATATTTTTCAAGGTATCATATCAAATATCGGTATGTAGCGCACATACACAACAATGGTATCAAATATCCAAAATGGTATCAAATATCGATATTTTTCAAGGTATCGCATTGAATATCGGTATGTAGTGCACATACACCAAAATGGTATCGAATATCCAAAATAGTATTAAATATCGATATTTTTCAAGGTAACATATCGAATATCGGCATGTAGCGCACGTACACCAAAATGGTATCGAATATCCGAAATGGTAGCATGGGTCGTTTGGCATATGTGAATCCAGCAATCGTGCTCAGATCCGCACCATATCAATCAGTGTGAGACTGTCTGAATGAGGTGGTCTTGGCTCGATTGAAACGAACTCTAGTGCTGATCGATTGTAATGAGAAAGCAAAACGATGCAACAAACTAACGAAACCAGGCTATATCACAGTGTATTATGGATATTTAATAGCCATATTTATGGTTATATGAAGAGAGAATGATGAGTAGGGCAGGATGCCATCATTCTTACCGGCAAATGTCAATTTCAATATAAATGTCAATTTCAGTTAAAATAACAACGCATGACAGCTGACAAGTAAACCCTGAAACCCTGAGAGTTTACTCACACTCAACTTGTTTTAATTATTTTGGTCAAATTAGAAACTTTGCTGTATGAAAGCGAACCGCACCAGAAACAAAAGTAAACATTGTAAGAATTGTAAACCCTGTTTGGGAACAAAACAATCGATCTACAGGTGTGAAAGCACCCTAAAACAAAAGTGTTGAAATCTTAATATTATTATTAATCATTCATCTCTCTGCTGGTGCAACGAGTATTTACACAAACCAAAAGCATGGTTATTCATTCATTCATTTTCTTGTCGGCTTAGTCCCTTTATTAATCCGGGGTCGCCACAGCGGAATGAACCGCCAACTTATCCAGCAAGTTTTTACGCAACGGATGCCCTTCCAGCCGCAACCCATCTCTGGGAAACATCCACATCCACATTCACACACACACTCATACACTACAGACAATTTAGCCTACCCAATTCACCTGTACCGCATGTCTTTGGACTGTGGGGGAAACCAGAGCACTCGAGGGAAACCCACGCGAAGGCAGGGAGAACATGCAAACTCCACACAAAAACGCCAACTGAGCCGAGGTTCGAACCAGCGACCCAGCGACCTTCTTGCTGTGAGGCGACAGCACTACCTACTGCGACACTGCCTCATCAAGCATGGTTATATCATTTTAAATATTTTAATATCAATAATTCTCGATATTTTTGACAGCACTAGTTCAATTAAAAAGTTTAAAACCTTTTCTAAAGTTAAGGTTTTAAAATAAAATCACTTGTTTGCCTTTTGTTTTTACAATCAATCAATAAATATTCATATTTATCGGTCAAAATATCAGCTATCGGCCACTAAACATTAGAGTTATCGATTTCCATATTGGTGAATATCTTACACCATAAAACAATTCCTGCTATGAACTGCTGACTTATTACCTGCATACTATTAAGATATTAACTGTTTATTAGTCCTAATCCGACCCAAACTTCTACCTTAATAACTATTAGCTATTATTAATTAATTATTAACTAACTAACCTACTAACTATTACTAACTATAAGGCTGGAGGTGTGAGCTGCTGGTTTGTTAATACCGTAAATGGTGACCTTAACTAAAGTGTTAAACCATTAATTCCATAGAAGATCCTTTATTATTTTTTTTTTACAAGTGGCCTTTTTTTGACTTGTTTTCCCACCTGAGAAGCGGACAGTGAGTTGACGTTGTTTATATACGAGGGACGGGAGCCTCCATGGCTTTCATGATGACCCAACGACTCCTTCTTCATCATCGACTCTGCTCGTTTTATAATGTCAGCGATGCGGTAGATGAAACCTTCCTTCTCCGACGGCAGGATGAACTCATTATGCACCTTGAGGGAATGAGAAAAACAAACAAATGAAAAAGTGTTGACTTCAGAAGGCCATCCAGTCTGACTGCAAACACACACATGTGGCGCATGTAAACCAAAATGGTATTGAATATCAATACATTGATGAATAAACTAATGCACAGTTAATATCTTAATAATATGCAGGTAATAAGCCAGTAGTTAATAGCATGAGTTTTGACCTAAACTAAAGTGTTACCAGGTCATTTAACATCCATTGAGTGTAACATTTTTATGGTGTAAAAATATTCACCGATATGGAAATCGATAATCGATAACTCTTATATTCGGTGGCAAATAGCCAATATTTTGGCTGAAAAATTATGAATATTTATTAAATGATTGTAAAAACAAAAAGCAAAGAACTGATTTTATTGTTAAACTTTAACTTTTTAACGTTTTTAAACTGATTTCGATTTTAAACGAACTAGTCAAAAATATTGATATTTTGATATTTTAAATGATACAATCTTGCTTTTAGTTAGTATCAGTTGCTCTTCTCACCAGCGGGGAGATGAATAATTAATAATAATATTAAGATTTTAACACTTTAGTTTTAATCAGAGAGTAAAATGAGATTGCGATAATTTAGATTTTTTTTATTTATTTCTTTTTGGACTTACAGGACTGCTGACGTACCTGATGTAAGCATTATATGATTAAGTTATTTTTCCTTTTTACTTAATTTGCATAACTTTAATATTGTGGAATTTATTCCCCACGGTATCCAAAATGGTATCGAATATCGATATTTTTCAAGGTATCGTATCGAATATCGGTATGTAGTGCAGGTACATCAAAATAGTATCGATTATCCTAAAATGTTATTAAACATCAATATTGTTTAAGATATCATTTCGAATATCGGCATGTAGCGCACGTACATCAAAATGGTATCGAATATCCAAAATGGTATCAAATATAGTTTTTTTTTCAACATATCGTATCGAATATCAGTATGTAGCGCACGTACACCAAATGGATATCGAATATCCAAAATAGTATTGAATATTAATATTTTTCAAGATATCATATCAAATATCGGTATGTAGCGCACATACACCAAAATTGTATCGAAAATCCACAATAGTATTAAATATTGATATTTTTCAAGGTAACATATTGAATATCGGTATGTAGTGCATGTACACCTGAATGGTATCGAATATCCAAAATGGTATCAAATATCGATATTTTTCAAAGTATCGTATTGAATATCGGTATGTAGCGCACATACACCAAAATGGTATCGAATATCCGAAATAGTATCAAATATTGATATTTTTCAAGATTTCTTATCAACTATTGGTATGTAGTGCACCTACACCAAAATGGTATCCGATATCCCAAATGGTATAAGAATATTGTTTTCTTTTTCAACGTATCGTATTGAATATCAGTATATAGTACACATACACCCAAATGGCATCGAGTATCCAAAATGGTATTGAAGATCGTTTTTTTCAATTTATCGTATCAAATATCAGTATGTAGCGCACGTCCGCCAAAATGGTATCGAATTTCCAAAATTGTATCAAATATCGATATTTTTCAAGGTATCATATCGAATATTGGTATGTAGCGCACATACACCAAAATGGTATTGTATATCCACAATGGTATCAATATATTTTAAAAGTATCGTATCAAAGTTGGAAATCCTAGTATCATGACTACACTAAAATGAACTATTCGTTTCTATGGCCAACTTTCTTTTATAGAAATAAATCTATTGGCTTACAGAAAATATTGCTTGAATAAAACTGGTAACACTTCGTTCAATTCTCACTGTTAGCTAGTTGCTTATTAGCATGTGTGTTATTAAGGTATAGCACTTTAATGTTGCCAAAAAGTACATTCTAGTTATGGTTTTTCTGAAAAATTGTAGTGAAGCATCCATTCTGACTGCAAACCTGCGCACGTAGTGCACGTACACCATGTAGGAATCAAGGGGGCTCTCTGTGCAATCCAAACTATCCTTTGACTACTTAAAAAGAAACGTGCTTAAATTGAGCAAGTGTGCGCTTGTGGACACTCTTTTAATTCAAGGCAGCTTTAATTAAGTTTGTCCACAAGCTGAGCTTTTACACACCACTAATAGCAGTGAGTGTTCAGCGTTTCGACCAATAACACACCGGGAGCACCTCGACCCTGCCAGAAGTCTGAGACCAAACAAAAGAGCTTCTGTATGGAAGAAAAAGAGCAGCATGCAGTCATGTAAACCAACACACAAACACACATACACGTGCTCACACACACTTGTACAGCTATCTTTATGGGGACTTCACTTAGACGCACTGAATTCTTTACTGTACAGACTGTATATTCTATCCTCTACCTCAATCCAACCCTCTCAAGAAATCTGGCATTATAATTTACTGGTATTGCTATACTTGTGGAGACATTTGGTCTACAGTAATAAAGGTAAACAAACACACATGTGCACACACACTTGCTGGCACACACATGCATACACACAAACCCAATCCTTCACAAACTCACATACTCATATCCCCCCAACACACACACACACACACACACACACACCTACACAAACACACACTCACACAAACCCAAACACTCACAAACAAAAACACACATACACACACAAAAACCCACAAACAAACACACACACAAATTCACACACTCACACACACAAACACATGCACACACACAAACCCACACAATCACAAATAAAAACACACACCCACATGCATACTCTTACAAACACACACACTGTCACACTCACAAATAAAAACACAAAAACACACACACGCATACTCTTACATACAAACACACACACACACACACACACACACACACACACACACACACACTCACAAACAAATAGAGAGAGACTCACACACAAAGCCACACACTCACAAACACACACGCGCACACGCACGCGCGCACGCACGCGCGCACGCACACACACACACACACACACACACACACACACACACACACACACACACACACACACACACTAACAAACAAATAGAGAGAGACTCACACACAAAGCCACACACTCACAAACACACACACACACACACACTCACAAACAAATACAAAGAGACTCACACACAAAGCGACACACTTACAACCACACACACGCACACGCGCACGCGCACACGCACACACACACACACACACACACACAAGTCCACAAACTCACACACACAAATCCACAAAATTTACACACACCCACATGCATACTCTTACAAACACACACACTGTCACACTCACAAATAAAAACACAAAAACACACACACGCATACTCTTACATACAAACACACACACACACACACACACACACACACACATACACACACAAACCCACACACTCACAAACAGAGAGAGACTCACACACAAAGCCACACACTCACAAACACACACTCCCACATGCACGTGCACACACACACACACACACTCACACTCACAAACAAACACATACATACACAAATCCACAAACTTACAAACACCCACATGCATACTCTTACAAACAAACTCACAAATAAACACACATAAACCCACACACTCACAAACACCCTCTCAACTTTAACCCACACACACACACACACACACACCATCATTATTTGTTGCTCTTACAACTAGGATCGACGACAAGACTTTTGTCAGGTAGTGTATTTATTTAGGGTAAATCTTTGATTCTATTCACAATATATCAGTCTCAGAATGTGAACATCAAACACCAATTCTAACACCAATGCAACCTATTATTATTGTCCAGATTTTGAGCCCTTGCCGTTTCATCACTATAGTCATCCGTGTTAAATGTGTGCCAGGTCAAGTTAAAATGGCTTTTCAAGATCTGGCCATGTGGTGAACACTGCCAGTGAAGAAAAAAAAATCAGAAAAAGGCACATCGCTCTCCCGCATCTTTTTAATGAGGGACAAACAGAACCAGATGTCTGAAACAGCGGGTGATCCAGGGCATGTGCTCGTCAAATTATGACAAAATATCTCTGAAATGCGCAGAAATTAAGAATGTTAGCAAGTGTTAGTGTTTGTATGCGCCTCCAAGTTCCTCCAAGATTTTGCAGGGACATTAATATATGGGGGAAATCAGTACACAGATATTTCTAAAGGTGCTGCTGACTTGAAATTTTCCCCTGGTGCTGGTAACAACCAAGGACATCCATATATGCAAAGAAAACAAAACTAATTAGTTTAAAAATAAAGTTCTGTGTAATAAAATGAAATGATGCAGGGGAAAGTATTGAACACATGAAGAAAGGAGGTGTTGGAACGCAGGGAAAGCCCAGACAGCAGCTGAAATCTCTTAGTAGTTCTTTAGCAACCCTCTGCCCTTCCTCAGTGTAAATAGATATTAGCTGCTTCAGTCTTTAATGATTGTATTTTTGCTGTGAAAATACACAAATCTTGTAAAACATTTATAGTTTTCTGATCTTCAGAACTAGTGGACTCTCAAAATCCTTGAGAGAATGCTATTTGAACAATAAACACCAGTAAAGTATGAAATATTCACATGAACCAACAAAAAGTGTTTTATTAATTTGGTGAATGTGCATCTCAACATCTAATAATGCATTATTGACTGCATCTGTTATAATATTTAATGAAATTATTCCAACAATTAAAAATCGACTAAACTTAATAAACAAATTATAAATATTGTAACATCTGTTTTGCTCAATTAGCTCATCTTTGCTACTGCGTGAACATAATTAAACTAATGTGACCTTACTTATACGTGTTACACAACCCCCTGCTGAAAAATCCAGCTTAAACCAGCCTAGGCTGGTTGGCTGGTTTTCGTTGGTCAACCAGCCTGGTTTAAGAGGGGTTTTGGCCACTTTTTTAAAATAAATTTTTTAATTTCTCAATTAATGAAGTAATGAATTTATTATTTGTTTGTTTGCTTATTTTTTGAGAGGAACGTCAACATCTCAACATACAAATTATACAGAAAAGTCATTCTATATTGTATTTGTGTCACACGAGAAAAAAAACAAAAAAAAACTCAATAAAAGCACACTAAATGCGATCATATCTTTACAGCCTTCATGTAAAAAAGAACATATCTGCTGCTACTTCTAGCTAAATCATTAATGTTTTAAGATTACGTTCATCCTTCAATAGTTTTGGGTGAACTATACCTTTAAGATGTCATAGACACATTATAGACACAGATAGACACCTACCATTACCGCAGCAATGTCTTCAGGGTTGTCGCCATCGAGGTCAAATTTGAAGGTGACCATCTTATCATTGTGAGTCTGTAGCTGACATTCAACCACCCGGTCCACTTTATCAGACAACTGTGGATAACAACACACACACTGTGTGTTAGTCAGGAAATGTATTCATGCATTTAGCTTTCCACAATTATTTATGCATAATAGCCTAAATAAATATCATTCTCTTTGAGATCTCCATGTGTGTGTGTGTGTATGCGCGACTGTGCATCGGTCATCCTCTGAGCTGATTGTGTTTGACTGTGCGTTTACTGTTTATCTCTTGAGCCCTTTGAACGCTAATCAATGCAAGCCCAAAGGGTCTTTATGAAACAAATGAGCGAGGACATAGCGTACCCACAAAGAGAATGATCACACGTAAATGCTGAACATCTTGAATTCACATGCGATATCATACTAAGCTAAAGCCGTCTGCACTGCTCTCTTTATATTTGTCTCTATCATCATCTAAAGGGTTTACAGAAGCAATGGAATGGACTGGTGAGTGGATGCATCATTAATTCCTATTAATTCAATTCAATTTATTCATATAGCGCTTTTCACAATATCTATCTGTCCAAAACAGCTTCAGAAATGGTGGAAATTATTATGTTAAGTTGTCAACACAAGCTCATTCTGGAAACGTAGCCTCGTAGACGTTTCTGGAGACTGCGATTTACGTGGCCGGAGGTACATAAGGCCGCGTTTAGTTTTTTTCGAGCAAACCCTGCGGGACACCTCCTCTTCGCGCTCGCCGGCCGACGGCTTACCTCTGAGTGGAGGGCTTTCCCGATACAACCAGTTTGTCCGCTTAGCTCACAGCGTTGCGTCGGCGGAGCGGAGGCCCCGGAGGAGGAGCCGGCCGCGGGGACGACGACCGGGATCGAGTCCGGGGAACATCGGTTCCGGAAATCAGTTAAGGGTTAGGTAATCCGAAAAATAAGGGCGAGAACGCGGCGGGATCCGAAAACGCGGTCGAAATCGAAGACGAGGGCTTTTGCTTTTTTTTTTTTTTTTTTTTGGACGGCTTTTGCGAACCGTCGCTCGGGTTTAGGGAAGGAGGAGGAGGAGGAGGAGGAAGAGGAGGGCGGCCGAGTCGGCCAATCCGGCGGCTTTTCAAGCAAGAACGGCGCGGGCACGAACGGCGCGCGCTCCCGAGAGGCAACCGAGACGTGAAAAAGCGCGCACAGCGGCCTCTCGCGGATCCGCGAAAACAAAAACCGCTCGAATACATACCTCCCGGGACGTAAATCGTGGTCCGCAGAAACGTCCGCGAGGCTACGTTTCCACAATGAGCCCGGGTTGTAAGTTGTTGTGTATAGCTTGGGCAGTATACATCTGAAGTCAAAATTATTGACATTTTTTAAGGTCAATATTATTAGCCCACTTAAACAATATATATTTTATTCCATTGTCTATAGAACAAACCACTGATCCCCTTCAGAGGCAACCTCAACATGTGTCTCAGGCCCCGTTTACACGAGTGCGTTTAGTTTTAAAACGGTGTTTTAGATCAAAAACGATCCGCCTCCAGACTAGCATTTCACCTAACGATTCTGAACATATCTCCGTCCACACTCTGCCATCAAAAACGTATATCACGTGACCATTCGCGCACTCTGGGTATGCGCGTTCTAGTATAAACAGGAAGCATGCGTCTCGCTCGGCATTTGGTTATTGTTAGTCAACAAACGCCGGTTGAACAATGAACGCGATGGCAAAGAAAGCAAGAGAGGTATTTTTGTGGACAGACGACGAGGTCGAGTTGTTACTAAACATAACAAATGAATAACTGCACAATGGCACCTAAAACAGACAATAGTGCAAACAACGCTCCCATTTCTGTGTCCATGTTGTTGTTTACAGTGAAGGCTGGTCTGCTGTCTTCCGGTCACGTTAAAGCCATGTGTTATAGTCATGTGATAGGGGCTTGATGAATAAGGGAAGGATACGCAATGACACAAAAGCCCCAATCAGGTAGCGAATCTCAGCAGTCCCGCCTCCGTTTTCAGATGTCTCCGTTTTCCCCCATCCACACTGAGATGGAGCAGCAGCGTTTCAGAATGAAAACAGCCTCTCCAGCGTTTCCAAAACGCTCCGTTTTCGGCGCTCGAAAAATAAACCGTAGCAAAATTTATGCCTTTTAAAACTAAAATGCATTAATGCAAACGGGGCCTTAGACACTTTGGGAGTACACTAGACCAGTGGTTCTCAAAGTGGGGGTCGGGACCCCCTGGGGGGTCGCGGGACATTGACAAGGGGTCACTTGGTGATATCCAAAACTCAAATAAATTTTATTAAACTATTAGAATTACCATATTTTATTCATAACCGACAGAATATAGTTCATAGTTGCATTAAAGAAACAACAACACAAAAATAACAATCAGCCATCAGCCTTTCATTTTAAAAGCAAAATGTAATTAAATCCATAAATGACTTCAAAAAAACATTATATGGCTAATAGACTGTTGCATTTTTGTGTTGTCAATAAGCTCATGTTTATATTTGCCTATAGTTGTTTCTGCAACGTTTACATATTTACAGTACAACCACCTTGAAAAATGGGGGTCGCAAGCCACTGATATGATTATTTTTGGGGTCGCGGGCTGAAAAGTTTGGGAACCCCGGCACTAGACGACCAATCACTGTGAAGAGTAAGAAAACAGGCCAATGAGCACTCAGGCAGATCAGAGGATTATAGTGGGGGCTTATCAGTTGCCTTCGGGTCTGCGGACCCCTCACTCCTCTGAAGTCCACTTCCCAGAGATCCTTCCCAGAGGTGCACAGTGAGCTCACGCAGGCATGGAGGGTGCCTTTTCCACCCGGTCCTCGAGCGCTTCTGCACTCACCACCCTTGAGGTGGAGCGGCTAGTGGTATGAACCTATTCCCCAGGTGGAGCACGCTATTGCTGTCAACATTTGCCTGCAAGGCACTGCCACCAGCTGCCACACTACGTGTAGGTTATCTGAGTCTCTGACGGCCGGAGCCTACACTGCTACAGGCCAGGCTGCCTCCACTTTGCACACTATGGCCACCTACCAAGCGCAGGTGCTGGCCGAGCTGCATGAGGGCGGTTCCTCCTCAGGCAAAATGCAGAGATCATGCTCATGCAAGGCGACAGACTATGCTCTCATGACCACTAAGTCGGCCACTTGTGCCCTGGGGAGGACGATGGCCACACGAGTGATCCAGCAATCTAGTGGCTGATTTGTACAATGTGGACAAAGCTTGGTTTCTTTCAAGCACCTAAAACTCAGGCCGGCCTGTTCGGTGACACCGTCAGGGACTTTACCCAGGAGTTCTCAGTGGTGAAAAAGCAGTCAAGTGCGATGGGAGAGATCATCTACTGGCAGGCTCGGAAAACTGCCCGTCCTGTGGGCCCATCCACTTCGACAGCTCCTCACCAAGGACGTCCACCTGCACCTACAAGACCTGCTCTGCCTCTGCAGTCCGCTTTACCTGCAAAGTTGCAGCGGCGAGCACCCTGCAGGTAGCAGATGCCCCAGGGCGCTGTTGAGTCCAGTAATCATACTGCGAAGCCACCTTGAAACAAGCCACCCAGAGAAGAGGGGACTTGCTCTTTCCTCTGTGGAGCACCAGGGGAATTCCATCTACAAAAATCTACATCACGGTGCTGGTGACCAATTTGTCAAAAAAAGAGCAGATTTCCCTCTCTCAAGGTGAGCAAATGGAAGATCACGTAAAGGCAAATATTGCTCTATTATTAACATGAGGAATTGTGTAATTGTTTTTAATTTTCTTTCCCTAATTAGAAAATTAAATTTAGACAATTTTCTGTAAAAATGTCTAATTGCTGTTGAGAATTGTATTTCTTTGCAAGAAAAAACGATATATATGTATGTATTAGGGGTGTCACGATTTTGATTTTTAATCGAAATCGATCTAAATTTATGCTCAATTTCGATTATCAAATCAAAAAATAGAATCGTCGATGCTGCCACGGCCCCATGTCACGTCAGCTTGTCTTGCCAAGCGGGGAAAAAACAGGCTTGTTGAAGTGCTTGTTAAACTGCAGACGCAGGAGACCCGTCGACAGAACTTAAACCCTCTCCTCTTTCAATGAAGTCGCCGGTGTGGAAGCATTTTGGATTTCCAGTGAGTTTTGTTGACAACGTTCGTGTTGTCGACAAAAAAAAACACAGTTTTGCAAGCTCTGATGTGTACGTATAACGTACGGTTCGTTCGATAGACAACACCGGCATCGGGATCCTCCGCCCGCCCCCGTTGCAAATCCGCTCGCGAAAAGTACACACTCAGGCCCTGTTTACACTGTCTTTGTTTTTAAATGGCATTTTAGAACGACAACGATTTGACATCCACAGTGGCGTGTAGCATTTCTGAGCAGCCCTCCTTCCTCTCTACCTCTGAAAATGCACATCACGTGACCACACAGACACAGACGCACACACAGCCATATGAGCTCGAGACAGCAGGTCCAGGCAGTCAGAGGACTGCTTCAATCTTTCACTCACTTGTACTTAGTCATTTTAGCGAACACCTCAGATACTGTTGGCTGGTTCCTGTTGGTTGTGCGTCTTTTTTACCGACGCCATTATAACGACACAGATCACTGCCTATTCACGAGTCCCGCAGAAAAAGTGATTGACAGGTGGTAATTATGTGTGTATCTTGCCTTTATTCATTTATTGTATTATTTGTTTATAGGTAAAACAAAGACCATGCAGGTCAGGTAGTTTAAACGGTAGGCTACAAATAATAAATTGGTCATTAATTAATTATTCATAATCGAAAATGTAATCGAATCGTGCCTTTAGAATCGAAAATGTAATCGAATCGAGGATTTGGAGGATCGTGACACCCTTAGTATATATATATATATATATATAAACTTAAAAAATTGTTGGTTATTGGACTGATTGGGTAGCTATACTTGTACAGAGAAAATTAGGAACTGTTTAAAATGTTTTAAGACCTACAACACAATATTTCAGTGAATTTAAGATTTTTTAAGGCCTAAAGTTTTGCATTTGAAATGTAAGACTTTTTAAGACCCCGCGGACACCCTGGCATCCTCAAACAAAGTTCACATACCCGTAACCCTGCTCTCTAACATGTGATCTCAAATGAATCAATCATTATATTGAGCACTTATTATTGGATGTTTATGTGACGGGATGAAATCTTGAATTTTTCTCACCCCTGTAATGCGCAGGCGGGACCGCGTTCTCCTCCTAAACAGCTTCCCTGCTGTGCGTCTGGCAGCAGCTTTACTGCCTCGCTCCGACTGTCCCTCGTAGCCATCGCTCAAGCCTGACGTCACATCTGAGGCATAGCTGTGGACATAAATATATGACAGATTACAGACAAAAGGGCATCTGCGTAAAACAAACGCTGGAATAGTTCATTTGGCTGTGGCGACTTCTGCAATAGAGACTAAGCCGAAGGAAAATGAATGAAACCAGTAGCCATTGACTTCAATTGCATATTTTATCCTACTATATGGATGTTAATGACTAAAACAGAACCTAAAAAGGAAAACAACTTAAGTTTAAGTAAATGATGAGTCAATTTCAACCCGGGCTCATTGTGGAAACGTAGCCCCGCGGACGTTTCTGCGGACCGCGATTTACGTCCCCAGTAGGTACGTATTCGAGCAGTTTTTGTTTTCGCGGATCCGCGAGAGGCTGCTGTGCGAACTTTTTCGCGTCTCGGGCGCCTCTCGGGAGCGCGCGCCGTTCGCGCCCGCGCCGTTCTCACGAGAAAAGCCGCCGAATCGGCCGACTCGGCCTCCCTCCTCTTCCTCCTGCTCCTCCTCCTCCTTCCTTAAACCCGAGCGACGGTTTGCAAAAGCCGTCCAGAAAAAAAAAAAAAAGCAAAAGCCCTAGTCTTCGATTTCGACCGCGTTTTCGGATCCCACCGCGTTCTCGCCCTTATTTTTAGGATTCCGTTTTTCGTCTTGCCTGATTACCGGAACTGCTGTTCCCCGGACTCGTTCCCGGTCGTCGTCCCCGCAGCCGGCTCCTCCTCCTCCTCCGGGACCTCCACTCCGCCGACGCAATGCTGTGAGCTAAGCGGATAAACTGGTTGCATCGGGAAAGCCCTCCACTTGGAGGCCAGCCGTCGGCCGGCGAGCACGAAGAGGAGGGGCGGAGCAGCGCCACACCGCCCCGCAGCGTTCGCTCGAAAAAAACTAAACGCTGCCTTACATACCTCCGGCCACGTAAATCGCAGTCTCCAGAAACGTCCGCAGGTCTACGTTTCCAGAATGAGCTTGGGTTGGTCAATTTTCATAGTTGAGTGAACTACCCCTCTAAGTTCAACCATTTAAACTATTAAACATTGTCATTCAACTGAAAAATAACAAACAATTTAACACATTTCTGAACACATTTCACTAAGTGTATTACTTCTATAACAGGGAAAGTTTATCTTCTTGTACCTCTGAAGAAAAGACTCCTGGACAGCGAAATGTATTTTTAACTGCCCTGTTTTGTGGAAATCCAATACCACGGCCAAAGAAAAAGAACTACTCGTAGTATTTGCATTGGCTTTGTCTTTACTGAAGTTCCACACGCAGTTAGAGGCCGTGTTTGACTTGGGCCCGTAGGGACGCGGAGTCCATTCTGAGCTTGTTTCTGTGAGCTAATTGTGTCTCCCAGGTCTTTTACCAACACAAGCCTCTGTTTTATCCAAACACTGGGCTTCCTACGAGGCCCACAAACCTTTATAGCCAGCCTACCGCTTGGCGATCTTTGGCTCTATTGAAACATTTCAGGCTGTAGAGGAACGTCAAGTTCTTATGAGCGGAAAACGATGTTGTAATGGCGAGCATTCGTTAGGGACGGTGTCCAAGAGCCCTGTGGTGTATAAACAGTATCCTATAGGACATAAAACGTGTTTTTTTTGTTACGAAAGATGAGAGGAGGGATGAAAACATGAGCCCTACTGAGCACAAAGTCATTAGTACATCATCATTTAGGAGTAAAAAGACATTTGAAGCACTTTAAGGTACAATTATTGCTATTAATAAACCATTAACTATGACTTTTGCCTCAATAAACTGCTAAGCTCATGCTTATTAATAGTATTAAGGTAGCAGTTGGGTTTAGCTAATGTGTAGGATTAGCTATGTGGAATAAGATCATGCAGAATATGTGCTTTATAAGTAACAGACAACAGCTTATTATTAGACATGCTATTAAGCAACTACTTCATATATATAAATATATATGTGTGTGTGCAAACCTACCAACTGAGAGTGACATTGAGATGAATATGTATATATGAGTGCAAAGTAATTGTCATAGTAACTTTTAATCTGGATTATAAGGGCTTACTCACACTATGCCATCCGTACCGTGCCCAGGCCCGTTTCCCCGATCGTTTGAGAAGTGTGAGTGCGCTGAATCGGGCTCAAGCACGGTTCACTTGGCCGGACCTGGCCCGTTTGGAAGAGGTGGGCCTGAGAGCAGTTCACTTGGGCTTTGGTGCGGTACACTTGTAGTGTGAGTGCAAAACGCGCTAAAGCCCGAAACTGAAAGCGAGACGTGACTTTTAAGGGGCTGTTTCATATGGATTTATTAATCAATTTTACTGTTCAGTGAACGCAAACTGCCGTAGTTTATTAAATACGCAAACCCCTCACTGCACGACAGCTGCGCCTTCAGCAGACCTCCTCATTTCTGCAGCACGAGAGCTTTATGATTGTTTATGAGCGCCAAAAGTGGCGGATCTGTTCGGCGAAATATCTGACTGCGTGTCCCCGCATCCCTAAGGACTGTTTGGCGAAATATTTGACTGCATGTCACTGCATATCAAACGATTTAAACGATATAATGAGCAATCTCTGCTGTGCTGAGCGAGAGCGCTCACTGAACAGCGCAGCATCGATGACGTAAGCGTGCCCAGGCCTGATTGTAATGTGAGTGCGGGCCGTCGGGAGACAGGAGGGGGGACAAGTGTGCTTTGCCCCGGTTCGAGGCAACTGTACATAGTGTGAGTACTGCCTAACATTAATTTCCTTTCAAAAGCAGCCCATGTCAAAGTAGGCGGAGCCCTAGACAAGGGCGCCTGCAGGATTTTATTCCAAGGTACGCACAAATCCAGCACCGCCCCGCCCCCTTCCCCAATCATGTCAATAAACACATTATTTAAGGGCATTCATTACCACATCATTCGTTTCCTTTTTAATTTTAATTTTTTAAATGTTGAAATCTAAATGTAATAAAAGCACATCAGCACCAAGGAAAAATCAGCGTAATCTTTAAAATGATGACATATTTAAAAAATTGCAAATATATGACAGAAGATTGTGATAAAAGACAATTACTGATGCATTAATTAAATCCTTACTTTCCACTGACCGACAATCATCCACCTGAAAAGTTGAGTAGTAGATGGCTCAAACAAAAAATATAATTATTTTGGGGGAAAAAAAAATGTAAAACTAATTTCATATGTAGTTTGTCGGCTTGTTTAAATATTTGTCTTGGTCAGTTAAAATAGAAGAATGAATAACATTTGAAGAGAAGGGCTTCAAAACAAATCCGCTATGCTTCAACAATGCCAAATCACGAATTGGATTGTCAAATAAAATAATAATCTAGCCTAAAAAAATAAAAGTGAAATATTCAGTTTCAGGGAAGCCTATATTATTAAAGGTTCAGGACACCCCGGAGAACTTTTTTTTTTTATATTAACAGGTTGTGTGTGTTGAGCATCAGTTAAGACAATGTTAGCACCTGTCAGCTTTAATTGTGGGGGAAACTGGATAATTTTGAGCTTTTGTCAGCTAATTTCAGCTTCCGGGTTTAAAATGATTTTTGGGGTGGGATCAAAATCGGCAACGTAGCGCAGAACTGCAAGTTCAATGATGACGCGTCGGTTTCTCATTATTATTCATAGCGGAGTTTTCTTATCCTATGAGAAGAGCCGGCTGCTTAATTATTCATGAGACCTGCCAGACCTACCAGTGTCAAGCCCGAGCTGAGAGACACGGAAACCACGGCACAGTATTTAGCCGTTCATGAAGGCTCATATGCGTTTGTTTCCATCATCCACAGGGTTTGTTGCATGTTTTCTCCCGCGATCTTGTCAGGGCCGATCATACAGCAAAGCTGTGTGTGTGCTGCTAGCATTTTTGTCGGGAGAGCAGCACGAGAATTAGAGAATGGCGGACGCTGTCTTTTATCAGGAGTTCGTTCACATTCAGACACATCGCCATGCTGCTGTGTTTGCCTAAATCCTCCAGATTACCAGCAGGGTTAATGGTTAAAATAGACGGGTCAGGAGACCTGCTGCACTGAGTCTGCTGGATACGGGGATTGAGGGAGAAGTCCTCATTTATAGTGTTTACATGAACACTATCTTTATAATGATATAAATTGTGGTTATGTGTATATGAAATTACGAATAACAAATGTAGCAGGGCATTAAATTACTGTTTATTTCTTTGCATTTTAACTTTGTAAACTATAAACTCATGCGTCTCCTCTTTGTGTCTCATTTTGTGAGTTAACTGACAACAGCAGTTATTCGCTCCCCTTCTCCCCTGCTGGCCACGCCCACTACTGCCCGATGCTCGCGGAGCTCCACGCCCATTAATCATGCATCTTTTGAAAAAATTCTGAAGTAGACTTTAACCGAAAGAGGGGGGTGTCATGGCCCTTTAAACTGTTTTCCCATGTTGCACCGGTCAATTACAATCTAATTCATTTAATTAAATAATTTGACTGAGCAGGACAAAGTATGCCTGTTCGCAACATCACTGAACATGTTCCCACATCAATAAACACATCACAAAGATTAACATCAAGAATGCATTATTATATGGTGTCATGTCTTTGCAATCAAAACATATCGGTAACACTTTATAACAACTACACACTATAAATCATTTATTAAGCATTAGCAAATAGTGAACTCATTATTTGTTAAGCATTAACTCTACATTAATAAACGTTAGTAAGCAGTTTATAACTGCAGCTACAAACGCTCTATTCTTGACTTATAAGCAGCTATATAATGTGTTTAATGACTGTATTTTCATACTTAGTTAATGATGTATTTTTCATTACTAAATTAAGTATTGCATTATTTACAAACCGTTTGTATTTAAGAGTAGTTGAGGGTTTTTAGGATCATTCAGAATAAGGTAGTAAATGATTAATAAACTATTGACATTAACGTTTTTATGTCTTATTATTCAGGCATATACTAATAGTTAACTAATATGTTAATAAATGCTTTATTAACTCAACTTCATGCAGTTTTGTGACCTAATCTAAAGTGAGGACTATTCATGCTTTATAAATGCCTTATAAATTACAAATAAAGTCTCAGAATCAAATGAACAATAATCTGTGCAATCTTTCTAAAAAGTAAAATGACTGTAAAGTTTAAACATTGCTGAATAACAGAAGTGTTGAAATATGACATTCAACTGGATAAAAGAACAACAATATAATAATTTAACATTATAATATGATGCAATGTTTAAACTCTACACTGATTTTATTTTAGATATAAGCTTGCAAAGATTGATTTTTTTTATAGTACAGTTTCATTTGTATATCTTTAAATGAATAGGAATGAATAATGTCATTCTTCCTGTTTCGAATTTAACTGAGCCTTTATTTGTCATTTAAGTATGAAAATACACTCATTAAACACATTATATAGGTGCTTATAAGTCAAAAATCGAGAATTTGTAGCTGCAGTTATAAACTGCTTACTAACGTTTATTAATGTAGAGTTAATGCTTAACAAGTAATGAGTTCACTATTTGCTAATGCTTAATAAATGATTTATAGTGTGTAGTTATTATAAAGTGCTACCGATATGTTTTGATTGCAAAGACATGACACCATATAATAATGCATTCTTGATGGTGATCTTCCCTATTGGGAAGAGGCAAAATGTGTAGTCGGGGCAAAAACAGCCACTAACACAATGAAAGGGCAGTACATTTTTGGAATTTCTTACATTTTTCAAATCATTTCCACAAAATATGTTTCAAATTAAGATTTGTCGCCAAAAGTCATCCTATTTGCTGAAACTTAAGACTCAAGAGTCTTCCCCAGAGTGGATGAAAATACCCCCAACAGCACACAAGAGTTAAATAACCAGAAAAACTCCAGTACTGACCTCCAAATGGATTTCCTTTTGGCCTGAAGTTATATATATATACAATGGTGTTACAATATACACATTGTTTTTTTTTAAGCTCTGTGAACATTTTTTACCATAGCACAGATGAGAGAATGCCTGATGCACAAAGGAAGCAAAGGTGTTTACCTGTCTACAGGTGAGGAGAAAGGGCTGAGTGGTCCTCTTTCAGTTTTGGCAGACACGGCAATACTCTGAAGAAACAAATAGGCTTTTAGTTACACTAAGTACCTATTAAAGAGACAGTTGACCCAAAAATGAAAGTTTACACACTATTTTTTTATTTTTCATTACTCACCCGCAAGTGTTTCCAAACATTAATGACTTTCTTAAGAAGATATTTTGAAGAAAGCTGGAAACTGGCGACCGTTGACTAGCATTTTACAGCTTTCTCCAAAATATCTTCCTTTGTGTTAAACGGAATAAAGTAACTCAAACATGTTTAAGAGTGAGTAAATGATGACTGAACTTTTACTTTTAGTTGAACTATCCATTTAAGCACTTCCTGCAAAGGTAAATTGAGTTTTAATAAGTCTACTAAACTTCATTCATTCATTTTCTTTTTAGCTTAGTCCCTTTATTAATCTGGGGATGCCACAGCGGAATGAACCGCCAACTATTCCAGCATATGTTTTACACAGCGGATGCCCTTCCAGCTGCAACCCATCACTGGGAAACATCCAAACACACGCATTCACACTCATACACTACGGACAATTTAGCCTACCCAAGTCACCTGTACCGCATGTCTTTGGACTTTGGGGGAAACCGAAGCACCCGGAGGAAACCCAAAGTGGGGAGAACATGCAAACTCCACACAGAAACGCCAACTGACCCAGCTGAGGCTTCAACCAGCGACCTTCTTGCTGTGAGGAGACAGCACTACCTACTGCGCCACTGCGTCGCCCTCTACTAAACTCATCTATAAGTAAGACCAGGGCTGCATTTAAAATCGCATACTTCCCTATTATATAGTACATGAAAAACAGTATATGAGCCAAGTACTATGTCTGAATTCATAGTGGTGTAAAAAAGTATGCGACAAGTACCCGGATGATCTATTACAAATGCCTGATGTAGTACATCCCAATTCCTGTCATGCTCCTCATATTCATACTATAACCAGTGTTGAGTGTAATTGGTTACAAAAGTAACTAGTTACAGTAATTAAATTACAGTAATTAAAAAGTAAGGGATTACTTTTCATTTTCAGGTCAATTAATTAATTAGTTAATTACAGTTACTTATAATGTACTTGTTTAAATTCAACAGTTCTGGATCAATCAATTAGGGTAAGCAGAGTAATTCATTGATCAAGTAGATTGAACATGCTCGAGAAACTATGAACAGAATGTCAGAAATTCATGGTAACATACTGTATGGTGTGGATAAAACATAGTGACATCGCTTTGAAATGTTTTCATGCATGTAATTGTATAATTCTTAAAGAGTTACAGTTTTTAATCAAGCTAAAAGATCCTGTTTGGCTCAGATTTAAAGAATTAAAAGTGTTTCATTTCTATTGTCTATGTGGCATTGAGATTTATATGTAATAAGCTCTTTTAAATAAATTGATTTAATCATTTATTGAGACAGAGCCATTAAAATTGCAATTTCAAGAGTTCACAATTTGCTGGTGATTGGTTATAAAGCGTGTTTGGCATACTGTCCTGGGAGAGAGCCCTGAGCTCGTAAGATCCTCGAACCCGGGGCTCCCTCTCATTTAGAGGGCGAGACAGGAGTTTGAGCTCAGGATAGATCTCGAGAACTCCCCTGCGGTTTGTAGCTTATGACCAATTAGGGACTACTATGAATGGATAACTGGCCGCACGTCTATGGTGGCAATTTAGATTAGTCAATTAAGGGTTAAAACCAGTGACATTCTTGCTGTAAGGCAACAGCACTAACCACCAGGCCGCCATGCCGCCCAATATAGGAAAGGAGGAGCAGTAGGGGTGGAAGGGGGGATTCTTCAAAACAAAGATGTCTGTGGTGTGGAACTTTGGTTATTTATGACGACTTAGGAATCGTCTGATTGGTGAATCATGTGCTAGCTAATGCGGGACCAGCCGTGATCAATCATAAGCATGTGATCCTCTCGAAATTTGTTTATCAACAAACTTAAACAATTTTAATGATGTATCTAATGTATATAACAATGTATATAACACTTTTCTAATGGTCAGGTAGTAAATTCACATTCAAATGTAGTACCTACTCGAGTAGTAGGTGATTTCGGATGCAGCCATTGTTTGTAGGTTTGTACTCACTGAAGGGAAACGGAGAGCTGGGATTGGTGGGCTAATAATGGGCGGGGCATCAATGGGTGTGGCCGGCTGGGAGAGGAGGGTTGGAGAATAGCTAACGTTCCCTGTTGAAGCCTCGGTACAATCCTGTGATCCAGAGGGACTGAGATATCCATCAGTCTCACAGTCGGCTGGAGGAAAACAAAGAGAAACAGACAGTTGCAGAGTGAGGAGTCACACTAATGATTCAAATGGCTGAGTATTAAACTTCATATTTGGAGTTACAAATAAAATTTACCAACACCTGTCTCGTTAGTTCGATTTCTAAACGTTCAAATCACACAAAATCTGCAGAAAGTCACATCTAATACGAGCCCCTCCTCCCAGAATATCATCAATCTATAGCGATCGCTTATTGGTTCCTGTACTACAAGGCAGGGCTTCATTAACCTTATTGACCGTTACACTTTTCCCTATTCAAAACTATACGAGTGACGAGTTTTGTGTATTCTATAGTCTTTGGTATTCTCAAATTGCTAAAATTTTATTTATAATCAATTTTAGCACTAGATATTGAATGCAACCCGGGCTCATTTTGGAAACGTAGCCCCGCGGACGTTTCTGCGGGCCACGATTTACGTCCCGGGAGGTACGTATTCAATCGGTTTTTGTTTTCGCGGATGCGCGAGAGGCCGCTGTGCGCGCTTTTTTGCATCTCGGGCGCCTCTTGGGAGCGTGCGCCGTTCGCGCCCGCGCTGTTCTCGCGAGAAAAGCCACCGGATCAGCCGACTTGGCCGCCCTCCTCTTCCTCCTCCTCCTCCTTCCCTAAACCCAAACGACGGTTCGCAAAAGCAGTCCAGAAAAAAAAAAAAGTAAAAGCCCTCGTCTTCGATTTCGACCGCGTTTTCGGATCCCGCCGCGTTCTCGCCCTTATTTTTTGGATTCTGTTTTTCATCTTACCTGATTTCCGGAACCTGCTGTTCCCCGGACTCGATCCCGGTCGTTGTCCCCGCGGCCGGCTCCTCCTCCTCGTCCGGGGCCTCCGCTCCGCGACGCAATGCTTTGAGCTAAGCGGACAAACTGGTTGCATCGGGAAAGCCCTCCACTCGGAGGCGAGCCGTCGGCCGGCGAGCGCGAAGAGGAGGGGCGGAGCGGGGCCACACCGCCCCGCAGCGTTCGCTCGAAAAAAACGAAACGCGGCCTTACGTACCTCCGGCCACGTAAATCGCGGTCTCCAGAAACGTCCGCGGGGCTACGTTTCCAGAATGAGCTTGGGTTGATTGAATGCTTGATTCTGATCAACTATATCCATTTCATGTTGGCGCCAATAGCCTTGTGGTTAGTGCGTTGACACATAGCACTGAGGTGTTCGCGGTGACCCGAGTTCAATTCCCGGCTTGAGGTTCTTTGCCGACCCTTCCTCTATCTCTGCTCCCCATAGTTTCCTGTCTCTGAATCTCCACTGTCCTATCACAATAAAGGTGAAAACCTCTATAAAAAAAACTATAATAGTTTCAGAATTATACTACAAAACAATGCAGTAAACATGTCCTATTTTTCTTTCTGTTCATTTTTCCTCCATATGCAGTATAAATATGGTAATAAAATGAGTTGTTTAAAGAAACATATACATAGGTTTTGTTATAAGGTATTGGAAATGTTGCCAATGTAAAAATTAATAAAGATAATAAAATAATAATAATACAGTAAATCTACTGTTTAATTTTACAGCGTCCTACATTTTGTACAGTGTCCACTCCAAAGTGTCTAAAATCCATAATGTACTACCTATACCCTCACCCTTCACCCTCCCTGATGCGCATACACACACAGTTGCTATTAAAAAGAGTTTATTTGTGGAAGTCAGTTGACTGTGTCGTGCTGTTTTCAGGAGAGCTGCTGGACTTAACGCGGCGTGAAAGAAACATTGAGGAAGATTTAGGGCACTGCTCCGTATAGTTTACATGAGGCTCAGTGGACGTCTTGAACCCGCTGATCTACTGTTAAACAGAGGTTACCTAACATCGCCCTGCCTGCTGTATTATTGGTCATTCAATGGGTTTATAAAAACAGATTTTCTTTATTCACATCATTTATTTCATTTAGTTTTTTCTTTCCACTTTGACTTTTGTATATCAAAGGCTTTAATTGTATTTAATTATAGCCAAATTGTGACCACAACGCCTTAGTTGGGGACTGGATTTGTTAATAGGGTAAAACTGGGATTCTCTATAGAGATACTGTATTTTATTTTTGAATCGATATAAGTATTAGTCACTAAGAGTCATGAAACTCTTGACTAAATTTATTTATGTGCGTTGAACATCGGTGGTTCATTCCGCCGTGGCAACCCCTGATGAATAAAGGGACTAAGCCAAAGGAAAATAAATGAATGAACCTGTTGAACATCAATTAAAATAACATTAGCATGTGTTAGCTTTAATTGTAGCGAACAACTGGCTAAGTTTGAGCTTTTACCCACTAGTTTAATCTTCTTCTGGCTTTAAAATGTGACCCTGGATCATAAAACGTCTTATGTTACACAGGTATGTCAGAACTATTAGCCCCCCTTTTAATTTTTTGTTTCTTTTTTTAAATATTTCCCAAATGATGTTTAACAGGGCAAGGAAATTTTCACAGTATGTCTGATAATATTTTTTCTTCTGGAAAATAATATATATGATAATATTTTTTCTTCTCTTATTTGTTTTATTTCTGTTAGAATTTAGGCAGTTTTTATTTTTTTATGAGCCATTTTAAGGTCAAAATTATTAGCCCCTTTCAGGGTATCTGCACATTTTTAACAGGAAATTTAAGACCTTTTAAGACCTTTTTAAGTCCTCTAAAATGAAATTTTAAGACTTTACCGAAACAAAACAAAATAAACAGGAAAGTGTTCAGTGTGTCAACACAGAATGATGCGGTGAAGCATTAGCGTGGCACAACTCACCAGAGCCACTCTCAAGACAGCCAAAGGGACGCAAAAACTTTTATGCCGAGTGCTGATTGACCTTGCAACCCTGACAAAAGGGTACCGTTCTCGTCAGTTGATCAACGTCTAAAGTGCAAGTCTAAGTCTTCGTTGCTGCATTCATGGACTCATCGAACATTATGATGAAAGCGTCCTTGTTTGCTCGTGAAATTAGTTTCTTCTTTAGGTGTGGGGCAACAAATCGTGCTAAATATACTGTTTTGTCTCTTCCACATGTGAACGTACTCGCACACTCTGAGTCAGGGAAAATTGCTTGAAAAACTAGGTGGACGTCCTCATTTGAGGTGTACGAGTGGTGGCGGCTTACGGTTTTAAATACCCACAGTTTTTCGGTCTTAAATGTAACTATATTCGCAAAGCTGCTGAAGGCATTGCTAGAAGTGGACGGCCTTGTGGAAGGCTGAGGTCGAAGTGCTCGATGAGAACATACTTATGGGCAAACTACTTGCCTGCGACTACACATACTTTTTGTGCTTCTCTGCTTTCATGTGTGAATCGAGCGCTTTGCGGCCCATTGTCCCCAGTTTTATCGTCTTTTTAGATAAAGCACACCTCCCTTCATGATTACTGGCTGTTTTCTTTAGCCACCCCCGATACTTTTCGTCCTCCAACCAATTGTCATCAAACAAACATTTGCCCATGGTTGTGATTTCGCAAAATGCCGTGGTGGCGAAGTATCAACGCAACGCATTCATCAATCACTTGTATGTCACCTATGGAATGATGCAGGTTGCACCCACGAAGTGCTGCCCCCAAATGTTGCGCTGGTCAAATAGCAGTTGAAAAAAATGAATAAAAAAGACGAGTTGGACATGAAATTTAAGATCCCACATGAAATTTAAGACCTCCTTATGGAAAATTACAGAATTCAAGACATTGTTTAGACCTTAAAAATCGAAAATTTGATTTAAGACATTTCAAGACTTTTTAAGGACCCGCGGGGACCCTGCCTTTAAGCAAATTATTTTTCCGACTGTCTACAGAACAAACCAAGACTAAAACTTCTTAAAGACCATCAAGAATAAAATTTCGGTCTTATATAGGAATAAAAACGCTAAAGATTTTTTTAAGACCCAGCAGATTTTTTTTACTTGCCCCATCAAAAACCTAATTCTAATAAGTTATTTATTATCCACACATATTTTAAACAGCTAAATGTATGAAAAACTGTTTTGGTTTTACCCCCCTCCCCCACCCCCCAATCTCACCCCCCTCTTCACTTTCATCCGCGACACCTTTAAACCTTCCCTGCTCTTTACTTTCATCCGTGACACATCCACCCACCAAGCCGTCCCCACAGTTTTGTGTTTTGTTTGCGACACCCACTCCACAGCTTCTCTTCACTTTCGTTTCTTCACTATCGTCCGCGATACAATCAGAATGTTGTCATAGGGCCCGTACCAGCGAGCGGGGCCCTTGTGTATCGGTGCCGGTGGTCATCCCATTTAATTAGCATTATTCAAAATGATTCTGAGGAAAACAATACGAATAAATTAAGGATCAGATGCTTACAGGTTGCTGAGGAGCAGCTCGTTTGTCGGATGTGGAAGTGCTGATCAGCCTCTGGTTCCTCTGGTTCCGGTGGGAAGCCCCCGTTAATCCCAAAATCTGATGATCCAGTAGCAGGAGAGCGGACGGGCTCTGGAAAGACAGGAGTGGATGGGATCTGCACGGGAGATGGAGTAGGGGTTTCAGACATCTGAACGGTGGATCTGGGAGACAGCAGCTCGGGTTCTTCCTCAATGATCCCTTCCTTTTTCTTCTGCTGCTCTTCTGCTAGTCGCCGATGTTTTTCCCGCTGGCGTTTGATGGCCGTCACGCGGTCTCGCATGGCTTTGGCCACCAGCTTGTAGTCTGCCTCGCAAACGAAGCCCAAAACCACCTGTGAAAGACAAATTTTAGGCGCATAAATAAACATACTGTAATATTAGCATGTTTAGCACATTGTTAGCATAGGTTAGCATTATTAAAGGTCCCGTGAAGTGCTTTGAAATTTGTATTTTTTGTTCTATGTGTGACAATTGTAGCTAAAACATGAAGAGAGGGTGGGGCATATAGTGGCTCCTCCCCTTTCAAAAAACAGCCAAGATTGTTTCGTTTTCATGATTTGAATTTTAGGTTTTGAATTTTAGGACATTTAGTTTGATGCTAAATAAAAAAAAACTCACTCTTGATCACATTTGATGATGATTGATGATCCTAGCAAACTAAACAGACCTTTTATTCCCGGTTGCTTTGCGCACGTCCTGTCTTGTTGATATGATTATATGCGTTACTACGGAGACATGTAAATATGCAGCTGTCAATCAATATTGGTGGGCGGGGGGACCGCACTCCTACGTCAAATTGCGTTCAGTCTGAAAACCGCTCCAATTGGTCCACCATTTTTGTGTTGTTAAATGGAAAAAAAGGACTGTGTGTTTATTTCCCCTTAAAATGACCACCTATACACTATACCTACACACACGTCTGTCCAAACAGCTTGAAAAGTAGATTTCTTACCATAGGTGCCTTTTAAATTTCAGATGTTCAATATTCAAGTTATGAAATTCAAATTCAAATTAAGAGATTCAAATTCAATAAATTTTTAACGGCATATAAAAATTCTGATTTATTAAATAACAATTGTCAGTAATTAAAATTAACACAATTCAAATTCAGATTTTGGCATATTTTTTTTTAATTAATTCTCAGAACAAGACAACATGTTTAGCTTGTCTAGAAAATGCTTCTTGATTTAAAGGCGCAGTATGCAAGTTTGACACCCAGTGGTTGAACTAGGTATTGCATTCCTTGACCAAAACACATTTTCACTCGGCTCCTCCTCTGACGAGTCCAGGTTGCCAGATTGACGTGAGTGTGCTGACTATTAAACCGAAAGGCTGATTTAAGGCTGATTTGAAACATGTCCTATATAAAAGAAACGGCACTTGATAGAAGGAATTTTTTTCATACTAAAATAAGTTTTAAGTCGTGTTGTTAGGACACGGGGTTACAATGTAACCTGCTCACCTAATGTTTACGTTTATAATATTCATATTATTTGGTAATTAATAACCACATCATGTGGAACTCTGAATCTGCGTCTCATTTTGGAGTCGGTTACTGTCCACCGGAGGTCACATTTTTGGTCGTGTGCACATGCTATGAGAGCCTTACTGACTGAATAAATGAAATACGCTGTTTTCCCCAAAGGCAACCCGGGGTGCTGAAATATAATTGGCTAAGCTGGCATTGGGCGGGTTAAATGACCAAAACAAAGACAGACGTTTTGGCACATAACACACATTTTCAAAGCAGAATATCTGACTTCAGCTTTGTTTTTCAGATGAACAAGAATGTTCACTTAGCATGTTTCTTAATTATCTGCAAACATTTTAGTGTATTTCTATGCTTAGAGTCAACAACTTACATACAACACCTTTTTGCACTAGAAACATAACAAAAACGCATTTTTTTTGCAGTGCTAAAGTAGATTTGAGCTTGGCATAAAGTTTATGAAAATGACTCTACAATGCAGATCTCAATAAACTTTCCACCCAACTTCGGAACAGTGTGTTTCCAATGAAACAATGTCGGCCATTGAAGCCTCCATCAGCACATGGGCTCATCAAATAACACAATAACCCGCCGTCGATGCGACTTAACGATAAATTTGTTCTTGATGAAAAGCAGACAAGATGAGAGATAAAAGGAGGATTGTGATAGGCCGGCCTTATAATAAGTAGGACTGCAGACTGGACAAGAGAAAGGATTGAGTTTCACAACACCGGGCACGTGACCCTCTTCCTCCTTTGGCCCCCTGCTCTCACATTTCCACGTCGATGATTAAAAAGCGATGCCCTTGAAAGCGTTATGCAACACGCAGCAGGGTTACACAGGCCCCGGTGTTTTGGGATGAAGTGAGCGCTGTCCCGCTATGTCAAGAAAAGCGCTGGCAGGAGATGCATATTCAGGTGTGTTTGAAAGCGTGCAGGAAGGTCAGGAGTTCAGTGACGGCCCACATTATTGACACAGGAGGAGGAAAGTCATCAAGTCGGAGTGAGGACAGACTGCTGGAAACCAGCAACACTCTGAAGGTCATTAAGAAAATCTTGGAAAGTCATGAGATACACAAGATTAGATCCCAAGAGCTAAAAGAGGTCAAGAATATTTCTGCGTCATGTTTGAACCCTAAAACAAATTGTTTATTAAAAACATATTTACAGTGCATCCGGAAAGTATTGATAACGCTTCTACAGCCTTATTCCAAAATGGATTAAATTAATTGATTTCCTCAAAATTCTACACACAATACCCCATAATGACAATGCGAAAATATAGTCTTTGAAATTGTTGCAAATTTATTAAAAATAAAAACCATGAAAAATCACCTGTACATCAGTATTCAGAGCTCTAAATTGAGCGCAGGTACATTCTGTTTCCACTGATCATTCCTGAGATGTTTCAGCAGCTTCATTCAGCTGATTGGACATGATTTGTAAAGGCATACACCTATCTATATAAGGTCCCAGGGTTGACAGTGCATGTCAAAGCACAAACCAAGCATGAAGTCAAAGGAATTGTCTGTAGACCTCCGAGACAGGATTGTCTCGAGGCACAAGGCTGGGGAAGGTTACAGAAACATTTCTGCTGCTCTGAAAGTTCCAATGAGCACAGCGGCCTCCATCATCCGTAAGTGGAAGATGTTTGGAATCACCAGGACTCCTCCTAGAGCTGGCCGGCCATCTAAGCTGAGTGATCGGGGGAGAAGAGCCTTAGTCAGGGAGGTGATCAATAACCCTATGGTCACTCTGTTTGAGCTCCAGCCTTCTTCTGTGTTACAGAAGGACAACCATCTGTGCAGCAATCCACCAATCAGGCCTGTATGGTGGAGTTGCCAGACGGAAGACACTCCCCTAATGGAATTTGCCAAAAGGCATCTGAAGAACTCTCAGACTATAAGAAACTAAATTCTCAGGTCTGATGAGACTAAAATTGAACTCTTTGTAGTGAATGCCAGGCGTTACGTTTAGAGAAACCCAGGCAGCACTCATCACCAGGCTAATACCATCCCTACAGTGAAGCATGCTGGTGGCAGCATCATGCTGTGGGGATGTGTTTCAGCAGCAGGAACTGGAAGACTAGTCAGGATAGAGGGAAAGATGAATGCAGCAATGTACAGAGACATCCTGAATGAAGACCTGCTTCAGAGTGCTCTTGGCCTCAGACTGGCGACTGTTCATCTTCCAGCAGGAAAATCACTCAAAGCGCACCGCCAAAATATCAATGGAGTGGCTTCACAACAACTCGGTGAATGTCTTTGAGTGGCTCAGCCAGAGCCCAGACCTAAATCCTATTGAACATCTCAGGAGAGATCTGAAAATGGCTGTACACCGTCGCTTCCCATCCGACCTGATAGAGCTTGAGAGGTACTGCAAAGAGGAATGGGCAAAATATCCCAAAGACAGGTGTGCCAAGCTTGTGCCATCATATTCAAAAAGACTCGAGGCTGTAATCGCTGCCAAAGATGCATCAGCAATAAATTGAGCAAAGTCTGTGAACACTGATTTTTTATAAAAAGAATTTTTAATAAATTTGCAACAATTTCAAAAACTTTTTCCTCACATTAGTCATATTGTATGTAGAATTTTTAGCAAATACATGAATTTAATCCATTATGGAATAAGGCTGTAACATAAAGATATGTGGAAAAAGTGAAGCGCTATGAATACTTTCCGGATGCACTGTAGGTTTTGGCGTTGACACGATGCTCAATTGATACTAATGGGCCAAAGCATGCCAAGGAAATATCCCCCACAACATCACACCAGGGCGAAGCAATGGCGCAGTAGGTAGTGCTGTCACCTCACAGCAAGAAGGTCGCTGGTTCGGTCCTCAGCTCAGTTGGCATTTCTGTGTGGAGTTTGCATGGTCTCCCTGCGTTCGCGTAGCTTTCCTCCGGGTGTTTCCCCCACAGTCCAAAGATATGCGGTGCAGGTGAATTGAGTCGGCTAAATTGTCTGTAGTGTATGAGAGTGTGTGAATGAGTGTTTGTAAATGTTTCCTAAAGATGTGTTGTGGCTGGAAGGGCAAAAACATGCTGGATAAGTTGGTGGTTCATTCTGCTGTGGCGACCCCAGATTAATAAAGGGACTAAGAAAATGACAGAATGAATGAACATCACACCACCACCAGCGTCTTGATCAGGTCCACATGCCTAAATGCATTAAGTTGCTGCCATGTGATTGGCTAATTAGAAATTTGTGTTACCAAGCTGTTACACAGGTGTACCTAATAAAGTGGCCGGTAAGTGTAGATACCAGCAAAATAAAATAATATGGTTTAAACAAGGTTTCTACTTTTTTTTTTTTTTTTACAGCAGATGTAGATCTGGTATGGTGACATACTGTATATCAAACAGCTAGAAAAACACACCTGCTATATGATAAGTAGGTTACTAAGACAAACATGTTTCTGTAATCGCCCTGTGGATATCAATGAAGAAACCTTAACCCAGATATTTACGCAGTGTTGATCCCCGAGGGGAAGGAGCTGGGTAATGCAACCACACCTCAGATCCTTCAAGAGGCACTTTGAAGGCTGTGAGACGAGGTTGATGTGGGATTATGTGCTCACCATCTCCTGCGCCACCTCCTCCGGCACGTCTTTGTAGAGCTCGAACAGGAACTCGATGGCGTTGTTGTCTTTGTACTTTCCGTGGAGCTTTTTAGTGTCGTCCATGCGGAGCCAGAGCTTCAGGCCGGACTTGATCATGTCGTCCTCTTCGGCCAGTTCAACATGGACACCGTTGTGCTCCTGGAAGAAGGTGTGCTCCAGCAAGTCCTGAATGGTGTACCTGGAGTAGAAAGAAAGACGCAGGACTAAATGCGTGCAACTATGTTGAAGTAACTGTCAATCAATAAGCAATTATATTAATATATATATATATATATATACAGTTAAAGTCAAGATTATTAGCCCTCTTGTAAAATTTGAATTAATTTTCAAATATTTCCAGAGTGCCAGAAAAGCTTTTTATAGCATACTAATTTTATTCAATCATTTTTTTTTCGGCTTATTTCCTTTATTAATCTTGGGTTGCCACAGCGGAATGAACCGCCAACTTATCCAGCATATGTTTTATACAGAAGTTGCCCAAACACTATGGACAATTTAGCTTACCCAATTCACCTTTTTTTGAACTGTGAGGAAACCGGAGCACCCGGAGGAAACCCACACCAACACGGGGAGAACATGCAAACTCCACACAGAAATGCCAACTGACCCAGCCAAGGCTCGAACCAGCGACTTTCTTGCTGTGAGGCGATTGGGCTACCCACTGCGCCACTGTGACACCCACACGCTAATTTCTATTTGTTAATTTATTTAGTCTTTTCCTTGATGACAGTACATAATATTGCAATTTAAAGGCTAAATCTGGTTAATTAGGCAAGTTTTGTTAATCAGGCAAGTCATTGTACAACAGTGGTTTGTTCTGCAGCCAATCAAAAAAATATGATTTCTTATGGGGGCTAATAACTTTATTTATATATATATATATATATATAT